GTATAAATAAAGTTAGTTTAGTTCAGGTTTCCTCCTGTAGTAACACTGGATCAATAAGAAGTGATACTTACTGGACCTCTAGGAAGAACAGTTTGGAACTGATAGAGCTATCCAACATAAATAAAGTTAGTTTAGTTTAGGTTTCCTCCTGTAGTAACACTGGATCAATAAGAAGTGATACTTACTGGACCTCTAGGAAGAACAGTTTAGAACTGATAGAGCTATCCAGTATAAATAAAGTTAGTTTAGTTTAGGTTTCCTCCTGTAGTAACACTGGATCAATAAGAGATGATCCTTACTGGACCTCTAGGAAGAACAGTTTAGAACTGATAGAGCTATCCAGTATAAATAAAGTTAGTTTAGTTTAGGTTTCCTCCTGTAGTAACACTGGATCAATAAGAGTTTAGAACTGATAGAGCTATCCAGTATAAATAAAGTTAGTTTAATTTAGTGATCCTTACTGGACCTCTAGGAAGAACAGTTTAGAACTGATAGAGCTATCCAGTATAAATAAAGTTAGTTTAGTTTAGGTTTCCTCCTGTAGTAACACTGGATCAATAAGAGTTTAGAACTGATAGAGCTATCCAGTATAAATAAAGTTAGTTTAATTTAGGTTTTCTCCTGTAGTAACACTGGATCAATAAGAGATGATCCTTACTGGACCTTATAGGAAGAACAGTTTAGAACTGATAGAGCTATCCAGTATAAATAAAGTTTATAGTTTATTATATTTACACAAGTGTTATATAGAGTTTTTGGCCACTGAGAAAAATCGTATTTAAACACACGTAAAAAAATATACGATATTTTTACGTGTGAAAATATCATTTGTTGTAAAACGCATTGCCACGGACGTTTTATTGTTTTTCACTGAATTTTGTTTATATAATAAACAGAAAAATACATGGGTGCTTGGAAATTGCGCTCACTCGTGAGATATCATGTTCAACACTCGAAATAAATCTGGTATTAAGTTCTTTGTATGTTTGCATGGCGATAAAATATAATAGTTTTGTTTGTGGAAACACCACGTAAATTTATTACTGCAAAGCTTTCGATCCATAAGCCCTTATTAGCACTGATGAAGATCTGGCCTTACGGATCGAAAGCTTTGCAGTAATAAATTTACGTGGTGTTTCCGCGCACCCATGTATTATTCTCTACAGTTTAGAACTGATAGAGGTATCCAGTATAAATAAAGTTAGTTTAGGTTTAGGTTTCCTCCTGTAGTAACACTGGATCAATAAGAGATGATCGTTACTAGACCTTTAGGAAGAACGGTTTAGAGCTATCCAGTATAAAGTTAATTTGGTTACTATCCAGTATAAAGTTAATTTGGTTTATAGGTTTCCTCTTGTAGTAACATTGTCACTGATAGAGGTATCCAGTATAAATAAAGTTAGTTTAGTTTAGGTTTCCTCCTGTAGTAACACTGGATCAATAAGAGATGATCGTTACTAGACCTTTAGGAAGAACGGTTTAGAGCTATCCAGTATAAAGTTAATTTGGTTTATAGGTTTCCTCTTGTAGTAACATTGTCAAACTAAGAAGGAATGACCGTATTAAGTAGACCTTTTATGGAAAATGTAGGAATAAAAAAGTATATTCAGTATAGGAATCGTAAATGTATACTAAGTTTCTGAGTAATTATATCAATTTAATGTTGTAGAGTTTACCACAAGATTTTCGTAAGAAAGGTGCACGGTTGGTTGCAGCAAAATGCACGTTAGCAGCTCGAGTTGACAGTTTCCATGAAACCACGGACGGCAGCATGGGTAGAGGCTTGTTTGAAGAAATCGAACAAAAATTTGAAAAATGGCAAGAACCAACGCGTTTGAAAGAAGCAAAGCCACTCCCGCGGCCTGACGAGGCGCCGAAGAAAAAACGAGGCGGTCGTCGAGTCAGGAAGATGAAAGAGAAGTCTGCGGTGACAGAGCTTCGTCGACAAGCCAACCGTGTTCAGTTTGGAAAGATTGAGGAAGATATGTTTCAGACAGACATTGGTTTCTCGATGGGCATGCAAGCAAAGGGCTCGGGAAAAGTTCGAGCTGCGGCTGTTGATAAGAAGACGCAAGTATCTGTTTCCAAACGACTGCAGGTTGGTTTGTTGGTTGCATCAGTTCTGATTTACTACGGAGAGCGTTGCACCAGAGTCGCAGGGTCACACGTTTGATTCCTACCAGAAGGACTATATAGTTGCATTTTTCATTACTGTTCCTGGTTAGGTGTAATAAATTGTATAAAATTTCACTCGAATTTTCATCTACCGTTGTTTTGTATTTTGTAAAAGTACTCTGTGGTTCCAGTAATATTCACAAACCAGTTAGTAAACTATCCATTCAATGGACCTATTCCCTAATGAACAACATTTTGATCTAGACAAGTCTAGACAAATATTTCACCACAGCTTGAAAGAGCATCACGAAATTAGTAATATTCCGAAGTTTCGTTGCGAAATGTTGTAAAATACGGATAATATAGCCCTGCGAAGTTTGCCGTTTTTCAGTCATTTTGTATTACAAACGGGAAATTGATAGCGTAATACAAAATGACTGAAAAACGGCAAACTTCACTGGGCTATATTATCCGCATTTTACAACATTTCGCAATGAAACTTCGGAATATTTCTAATTTTGTGATGCTCTTTCAAGCTGTGGTGAACTATTTGTCCAGACTTGCCTAGATCTAAATTTTGTTCATTAGGGAATAGGTTCATTGGCTTCTTTTAATTCATGGACCAATTAGAGGCTTTGTTTATAAACCGCGCGGCTTGTGAATTTCAATATGAACTTTTGAACTTCACAACGAAGTTTGGGGCATTTTGGCAAACGTTTTGTGAAATTGAGTGTAATATAAGGGAAGGGTTAATGATCTGTGCAACACTAGTAAATATGGAGAATAATTTGTTCATTTTGAATGAATTTTATATTTCATTTCTATACAGCGTAGTCTCCAACAAGGGCAAGCAACTTATGGTGGCAAGTCAACTGTGCGTGGTCAAACATCTGGAACTGCCTCTAGTGTTGCATTCACCCCGCTCCAGGGTCTCGAGATTGTCAACCCTCATGCAGCGGAGAAACGCGTCATTGACGCAAACGCCCGGTACTTCTCAAGTACATCGGGTTTCTTGCACGCCAAGAAGAAAGCTGATGGTGGTAAATGATGGTAGGGTGACAGTATGGTGATTTGTGTGGTATTGACCAGTTGAACTGTAAGGTACCATTGTAATTATTGCATGTCATATTACCTTGGGCCTGCTTATACGCTTGGACCATATATACTAAAGGTGATATGAAATTTAAGACAGCGATGCTACCCCATTGGCGAATGAACAACACTTGAAAATGGTGTTTTCTGCAGGGATTAAAGAAAAACACTGAAATCACTAGACACATTATCAATATTATTTCCGGTGGTGGAAGCTAGGGGGGTGCAGGAAGCAACTGCCCCCCCCCCAGTAATTTTCATGGTACAATATATGTTGGCAACCTAAATTTGCCCCGCCGCCCCCCCCCCCAAAAAAAATTTTTTTTTTAAATGTCTGCCACTGGTCATGTCCTGTTTGCTATCCAGAATAAGAATGTAGATTTCCTTATTATTATAATTATATTGGGTTCTTAAGTCGTGAAATCATGGCCTGTTAGATTTTCTTTTCCACGTTTTGGAAGCTTTCGTACTGTAATTCAATTTTAAACTGGATTTATTCCAGGAGTTTCACAATTCACACTATTCGGATCGTCTCGTAAATATAGTCTTGCACGATCTGTTCCAGTGTATTTAGTGGCAATAAAAATAAGAAAGCTTTGGACAGGATTGATGTGGATATCCACAACTACCTGAAAAATACAAGGAGAACTTCGACGTATCGAGCGAGCACTTTCCGTCGGGAAGTTAGACCATTTTTTTCGCCCGAAAGCTTTCTCAATTGACCATTTGCGTAATAGACTAAATTTTGATCTAGACAAAAATTTCATCACAGCTTGAAAGAGCATCACAAAATTAGTAATATTCCAAAGTTTCGTTGCGAAATGTTGTAAAATGCGGATAATATAGCCTTGCGAAATTTGCAATTTTCAGTCATTTTAGATTACAAACGGGAAATTGACAGCCCGATACGCTTTGAGGCTGTTAATTTTCCGTTTGTAATGCAAAATGACTGAAAATTGCAAACTTCGTAAGGCTATATTTTCCGCCTTTTACAGCATTTCGCAACGAAACTTTGGAATAATACTAATTTTGTGATGCTCTTTCAAGCTGTGATGAAATATTTGTCCAGACTCGTTTAGATCAAAATTTTGTCTATTACGCAAATGGCCAATTCTTTCTTTGCAATGACGTAATTTGGGGATTTCAGTTGACGGACAGGACGGCAGGTATAACAAAAACCGGCTATTTTAATGTATCGATCGAGTTTAGACAGTTTAAGACTCGAAAGATGAATTACCGTTCAGTTGTTCTTGCTACAAGTTATTTAATTGCCCGTCATTTGGATGAAAGGTCACGTGATTGCATGCAAACAATAAGATAATATCTCGTAAAGATAGCTAGCTATCTCCGCAGAACGGAAACTGGCTTCAAATTGTTTTTTTTTTTAATTTACCCAAATCTTTTTTGGAAAAAAATGCTGCCTCGCAAAAGGTTTAAAAATACTGGTTTTGTACCGTCAATATAAAAACAATGGGCTCTGTTCGACAGCGAGTTCAAGTATATTGCATTCTATAATGTGTTAGATTGTAATACTAATAGTGTGTTAAAAAGCCTCCAAGCAAATTTTATCAACAGGTATTTAGTAGATATAGAATCTTTGACCTATTGTTATTAATAGGTCATATATACTGTCAAAAAAGCTTTTAGTCACTTGTAAAGATATGGCTGATAATTTGCGATGAATGTCCCGTGATTTGCAGAGTGAATTTTACAAGAAGCGCGTTTCTTATGGCTTTTGAAAAAGCTTTTTGGATTTTGCATTAGAGTGTCGCGATAGAAGGCTATATTAATCGGTAAGTAATTCTTGAATATATTGTAGACCTTAACATAAGCTTACCATACATACAGCTGCGGCTTGTCATAAAATGCGCGTCTGATTTCGACCAAACTCGTACTAGTTACAATTTGGTAATGGCAGTTGCAAGCACATTTAAATATCCGATGTAATAGAACATTATTATGCCGCAAGTCTCTACAATCAGTGAAGATTAATTTGCATACTGCACGTAGAAGACAAGATAGATTCAGATGATGCATGGTTTCAGAGATCGCCATGATATCACCATGACTGACACGTCACAAATGTATGCCAGGCTTCATCAGTTGTAGTAATATGTTAATATCAAGCTTTTTTTATTATAAACCAAGTCTCTGGATCAGTTCGTTTTAAAGTCAGGGTCTTTCCCAAGCATGAAAGTTGAAGAGTGTGGGTTTTGAGAAAAGGCTAGTCCATTACAGACTTGCTATCTTAGCTCGGTACGCCCCAATTGCCGCTTCCGATCGTAAAATCGGGCAAGATAATAGCTGTATACACTCGCTTATTTACTGGGTGAAGGCCATGTATGTTAACTGTGCAAAGCTGGACTTACACCAGTCAATGGCTTAGCACCAACAGAGTAAAATCCGGATAAGCTCATTATAAATACGAGCCCATTCACAGGTTTAGTCAATTAGTTTCCCACGCACGGGTTATGCGCCATTATTTTTTTTTGGGGGTGGGGAGTACCGAGTTTTTATCACTGCAATTGTGTATATAATGGATTAATGGTAAATTTACCGTTACAACTTTGAAACGGTCCATTTTCACATTGGCTGATGTTGGCACACGTACTGAGCTATATGTAGAACTGGACAGTCCTGCCACTAAGCTATATTAATATACAATCTCGTACCCAGAGTATGCCCGTTCGCAGGTTAGGTGCTGGGCCCATAATGTACGGACAATAAAAATTCGCGTCATTTCCAATACAGAACTACAAACCTATCCACTGTTTTCCACTGCCTACGTCGCGCCCACGAAATCGCGCGTCTGAATTGGAGCCTGGAGACAAGGCTGAATACAGAATACAATATAATATTTTATTGAGACCACTTCCCTTTTCAGTGAGTCAGTGACAATTACAAGATTAAATACTAAAGTTCTCTTTAATGAATTTAATTAATCACAGTCAATGTAATAATGACTTTAATTTATGTTTAAAGTCTCGCCCTGTCATACTCGCATGTTCCGGGCATTGCATAATTGCACGATAATAAAAGTTCCGCTGGCTTGATGCGCTTTTATGAAGTGGAATGTTCAAATGAGATAATTGACACTATACCTCTACTTATGGTCGTATAACGGTCGTAAAGATTGAGTCACGATCTTTCTCATCAGCCGAAATACAACATTTTAGAACCGAAAATACGCGGAGTGATTATAACTAGAGAATACTTATGATTTACATGTGGTTTACAGGTATAAACTATTATAAACTGGCCGTTGAGAAAGATCGTGACTCCATTTTTACGACCGTATGGCTTTACAAATTGCAAACTTAGATAAGTAGATGTGATTAATTCCCGTCATGATTGCTTCGCGATAATAAAGTTGTAAGCTTACAGGTATGTATTGTAGTTCAACTTTTAGACTAAAATTCTCAATAATTTCAACATAATACGAGAAACGCATCAAAATGTTTTAAATGTTATAAGAGAACAAATTATGTAAAACACACTTTTTCTAATAAAGGCGTCATAAGGAGTTGATGTGTGGAACAAATTAGAAAGTTTTATTATATTAAGCGATATTATAAATTCATTTACATGCAAATACATGGATTCAGAAATTACACTTTCTTTAAGCAGACAATGTCCATATAATTGTCATTGTACAAAATAATGACCATGTAAAAATCTAACTAGTATATCTCTTTGTCTTAATATTGGAAACACTACAGCATTTACCCTTCAATACTTCAAATTTGTAAATCTCTTGTACACCATATAAAACTTCTGCATGATTATCTCCATTTAATAATTACTGTAAATAATAAAGTAGCCTATCTGAATAGGAACATGACTCATTAGTACATGGCCTATATACAGAAGCCTGCGAAGGTTTCTAGAAGGTGTCTATCCCAAATATTTTTTTTGTAAATGTTTTTTTTTTCTGTGTTGGTGTTATGTATTCAGGTGAATACGATGTTACTCTGAGTGTATATCCACACCGGGCAAGCTTGAAAAATATGCCTAGTATTCCAAAGGTCGCATGTTCGATTCCCACCGTGGCCAGGCATATTTTTCAAGCTTGCCCGGTGTGGATATACACTCAGAGTAACATCACAAACATCAATTGTATTGTACATGGGAAAATTAAATAAAAAAAACTATAGTAAAAAAATATAACTTGGATGACCTTTGCCAGTATCATTCCGGAACTTCGTCGAGGAAGCAGAGTGGGTTTTTATGTAGGTTTTCAAGTAGCCGGTCAGTATTGCCTCTGAGAGTTGACAAGCACTGGCGGCAGCCACAGATTGTTGCGGTGGCGATTTCAAACTCTAGATTTAAACAAAAGAAAGGTTTAAATTAATAAAATATAACTCTAGATTCAAAATAAAGATTCGATGAGTATTCCAAGCTATGTTTTAACTTAAATAGAAAACATGATACCAAAGTTACATAACTACATTCTTGTTCGGACCCGTGTTTCAATGCAGCAATTATTTCCGTTATTTGATCAAGATGTATATAGCTAATTAACTCGTCTCACCTGGCTACCCTAGCTGGATGTACATATTTCACAGGATTTGAAGCCCCCGCCGAGGCAATAGTATAAAGACTTCAGATTCGAGTTTAATCGCATTAATCTGGCCTTGGTAGCCTTGCATGGTGCGTACTAGGAATTCACAGAGTTCACAGCTAAAACAGTATGTATATCAAAATTTAACGTTGTATGTGGTTATACGTAAATCTAGTGTAGATCGTGGGCCTTCCTCAAAATCTGTTTCATTTATGAAGGTGAAAAACCAGTTAGAGTAAAGTGATCGCGTAGTTTCAGGTACCACGTATAGGTACTCTGACATCTGCATACATATATTTCGTTGTTACCATATATATGACCAGCATGATATTCAAAACTGTATTTAAGTACTCGATCAGTGGAAATCTGACATGTCTTGTATTGACGGGACTAAGGAATGTTCAAGTCTGTAGCTTTGTAAATTGTACTCGTTGTTTTATTAACACAGCTTCTTGTTGTGTATTTTATCTCAAAAACAAAATCCACCTCGAGTATATACACAGGGGTTGTAGAAGCTCAAGTACATAGCAATGATATCATTGTAAGTCTTGTTAATACTGAAGTCATGAGGTACAACTCGAATCATCAGTGATGTATTGCACCTTGTCATTGCTGTATCTCAGTATTTGTAGTAGTCAACTCTGTCCTCATGTTGTGAACGAAAACTTTAGCCGGTTGCTAGTGTTATTTGTTTACATATATTGTTTATTTGTACGTATAAATAGGAGACCATTACCTACATGTGGTATATATATATGCAGTTATGTATAAACTGATGCCGGGAATGTAACTTATCTTTATTTATCAGAATATGATATTAAGATATGTTATTCGGGCCAATACGAGCGAAATTGTTTTATAAAATTCTGAGACGTATAGACTACAGATTCACCTTTGTTTCAAAACAACATACTAGTATTCATTACACTCTCAGCAGCGTTCCAATCGGCAGTGCATGCATGGTTTCGCCGGCGTAATCCCTCTTCAGTGACCATTACAGCCCAGCAGTTGGTGAGCAACTTACTGCCAGGAACGCGAGATAGTTAAAGGACATCTCTCCATTATACATATTAGCATTAATAGTACGCTTGTAGATCATAATACATTTTCTGATATCCGAATAATAATAATTATAATTCTGGCTAATATTTTTGCATTTCATTCTGCAGTACATAATGTTATTCATGTTTTAAAGTAGACAGCCTTCAAAAGTTTTCATTCATTTTTTTAGCCTTCGTTCACAGGAAACTCATCATTGAAAACATTGCGTCATGGCCAGCACAGGAAAACCAGATATTTTATCGACGAATGTCTTCCACAGCGAGAAACAGGGGGTAACTGAGGACAAACCGGATGATCTACAGAAAACTGTGGATATTGTAGTACAAACGTGGAAATTAGTGAATCAAGATGCTTTGAAGCACGGGACAGTGTTTTATAAACGGTTAGGAAATCCATGTACAATTGATCATTCCAGTTGACTAAATTTTGATCTGGACAAGAAGGTCGAAATCTATCACTATAGCTTAAAAGAACATCCTTAAATTAGTAAAATTGCCAAATTTCGTTGCAAAATGTTGTAAAATACGGAAAATATAGCCCTGTGAAGTTAGCAAATTTTGAGTATTTTAGCATTACGCGCGGGAAAATGCACCACTTTTGAGCCGAAAGTCGTGCGCTTTTCCGCGCGTAATCTAAAATACTCAAAATTTGCTAATTGCACAGGGCTATATTTTCCGTATTTTACAACATTTCGCAACCAAACTTTGCAATTTTACTAAATTTTAGGACGCTCTTTTGAGCTGTAATGATAGATTTCGTCTTAGATAAAAAATTAGTCGATATCTGGATCATCCATTATGCCTTCTGTTTTCATAGATTGTTTACTCCGGCGCGTCGGAAGCAACGTGAAGCAGTGAGTGCAACCATTTTAAAAAGCCACTTCTCAGTCTTTGTGGGCAGCAATATTCGTTAAAATTTTAATGTACTGACACTCGACTACTTGTAGCCAATATATAGTTGACAAATTTCAGCATGGATTGGATTTTTATTCCTTGTATGACGCTAAGGACTAAAATGCATTGTCAAACAACATGACATCTTGTCAATTATTAGGAGAGCTTTCTTTTGACTTCTCTTTCATGAAGATGGGAACTTTGGTAACATTTCTGAAAGGAATTCCAGATTTATATTGGAGCTAAGTTGCTTGAAAACACTTCTCCATTTCACTTCATGTGAATAACTCGTGACTTTCGAAGTTTAGCTCTTGTAAAAAGGGCAACCCTCTTCCCCCGTGTTACCCCCGGCACTGTGTGGGCTAGAGGAGTGGAGGGGGGGGGGTAGCTTTCCCCGTGGCTCTGGCGCTCCTGTGGTCACCCACGCGAAGCATTAGAAGAACTATCCAGAAAATCTCCGACATATTTGTTTCCAGAACCATTGCCAGTAGTGGGTTACGCTATTCTAATGTAATTAAAGGCAATACTATACTAAACCTGCATACATCTATATTTTGTGTCAATTTTGCACGATATCGTCTGTTTTGAAGCCTTGAGTGAGTCTTTGTTGTTTTCAGACTTTTCACAACTCATCCAGGAGTCGTCGAATTGTTTTCATTTTCCTCTGAAGTCAAAGAGAACATGGACGAGAGTTCAGGTTTAGAAAATCAGGCCTATCTTCTCATGGCGATGATCGATTACGCTGTTAGTCAATTAGGAAATCTAGATGAACTTATTCCGAAATTGAAAGATCTTGGCGCTACCCATTTTGTCAAATATCAAGCCAAACCTGAACACTTTAAGGTAAGCATTGAAGTTCTTCCTAGAGGTACAGTAAGGATATCTCTTATTGATCCAGTGTTACTACAGGAGGAAACCTAAACTAAACTAACTTTATTTATACTGGATAGTTCTATCAGTTCTAAACTGTTCTCCCTAGAGAACCAGTAAGGATCTTCTCTTATTACAGTAAGGATATCTCTTATTGATCCAGTGTTACTACAGGAGGAAACCTAAACTAAACTAACTTTATTTATACTGGATGGTTCTATCAGTTCTAAACTGTTCTTCCTAGAGGTCCAGTAAGGATCATCTCTTATTGATCCAGTGTTACTACAGGAGGAAACTTAAACTAAACTAACTTTATTTATACTGGATTCCAGTTCTAAACTTTTCTTCGTAGAGGTCCAGTAAAGATCATCTCTTATTGGTCCAGTGTTACTACACGAGGAAACCTAAACTAAACTAACTTTATTTTGGAACATTATTACTTCTGTAAGCCGACATGCATGCGTTTTGCTCGTACTTCTTGTGCTTGTGTACTGGATAGCTCCAGTTCTAAACTTTTCTTCGTAGAGGTCCAGTAAAGATCATCTCTTATTGGTCCAGTGTTACTACACGAGGAAACCTAAACTAAACTAACTTTATTTTAACATTATTACTTCTGTAAGCCGACATGCATGCGTTTTGCTCGTACTTCTTGTGCTTGTGGAGAATAACATTCCTTGAATTATTCCTTCAGCCTGTTGGCGAGAGTTTATTGTGGACATTGAAGGAAGGTTTGGGCGAGCTGTTCACGCCGGAAGTTGAGAAAGCGTGGACATCAATCTACACCATACTCTCTGACGTCATGATCGAAGGTGGCAAGGCCGCGTTGGATGATGGGTCAGTTTAGATATTGGTGGCTTCGACAGTTAACTTCACTATTAGGAGAAAATGAAACTACATACAAGTCCATATATAGAATGAAAATAATTAACATTTTCTCACTTTCAAATACAAGGGGTTGATTGTGCGAAGGATGGATAGCACTATCCATCGGATCATGATTTTTTTCATGAAAAGAAACTATAATTTATAAATACTAAAGACGACTTTGATCTAGGATATATACCAAGGGTTGAAAAAATCACTCTCCGATAGATATGGCGCAGTCTGTCCGGCTTTTGTACAATCGACTCCTAACCCCTTTAGTAGGTGATCTTTATTTCACCAATAAGGTCGTTGACTATCTCAGAACCCACTTTATATAAAAATCTAGTAATTGTAAATTATTCCAGTTTTTATTGTGTATATTTAATCGTTCATATGTCACCACAGTATATAATACTCACAAAAATACTTTTATTAACAGCATTACTACTAATTCGTAATGACAATCATAGCCATTGGTCATTAATTCGTAATAATTAATTATTATAATAGCAATCAAATAGTAATGTTGTATAGGATATTAACCACATGTCTCTCAACAACTATAGAGTATATAGAACAATTTAACATATTTTTGAAATAATAAATATGTCTTCTGTTTCTATAAAGAAGTATCATGTTGTTTGATTAAGTAATTAATGATAATAGTTTATTGTATAGAATACTACCTACACTGGACGCCACGTTTGAGATCTACTTTTAGGTATAATTCTACCTTACACTGGACCCCTAGTGGGCCTATTTTTTTATAAATTGTCAGTCATGATTTATGATACCAACAGATTTTTCCCCAAAAGGATTAACTCTCGTCATCATGCTGGCGGAAAATCCCTAAAGTAAACAAAAACGCGATTTAACTCGTTTGGAATAAATATGATGGATTTTACACATTGCTTGTCTTGCATTTTGAACGTTTGAAGGAATTCAATTTATTTCAAAATTTAGAACAATTCATTTGAACTATGAAACGTGCCCCACTGGCCACAGTATTATAGCATTTCTGTCTTCGGACGGATTAAGCAATTGATTCGAAAAAGGTGGTTAATTTTACCGTAATGGTTTGTGAAAAACAGCACTAGAGATTTCAGAAAAGGCTATACAGGACCTCTAAACTCACTAGCAGCAATCATTAATTAAATTTGTCCAAGCAGAAACCAGTGAATGAATTTGTACAAAAAATATGGTCCTCGGTGGCACAGTACTTTCACCTCTGAGATCAAATGTCGTGGGTTTTCTCCGGGTGGGATAAGGGTGGGTTAGGATAAACACAGTTAAGAAAGTAATATCACAATTGTTGTCAAGATAAAATAGTCTGGGCTAAGTATGTAATTAGGTAAGCGTATTTTACTTGATGTAAAGTGCATATTTGGCTATATAAATGGTAATCGTAATATTAAGACTTCAGTCTCTCCAAGACTGGCTATAGGGGCTTAATTTAGAACTAAGATTGATCTAGAAGGAAATAAACGAAGAATGTAACCTAAATAAGTGGACGTTGTACAATACGTATTTGAAAAGACAGCATGAGGGCTTTTTTATAAATTCATTGCAGTCGACTTAACTAATGAATGAATACCAGTTCTGCTTGGACAAATTTCATTATGATTGTCAGTGCATTTAGAGGTTCCTGCTTACAGCCCTCCTCTGAAGTCTGCTCACAGAACTGTTGTGGTAAAATTAAGTCAATGAGTGTCAATCCAATTTCTAATTAAGTGCTTTTCCCATCTGAAGACAGAAATGGTATAATACTGTGGGGCACTTTTCATGCAGAGTTGAAATGAATGCCTTCAAAATGGAATACAAGCAATCTGTAAAATTAACCATATTTATTCAAAATGAGTAAGGCAATGAATTTATATAAGAAAGACCTCGATGCAGGCTGTTGAAATTATGTATTGTACTGTTTCACGGCAATTTTGTTCACATTCAAAACAACCCTGTGCCCGTTGTCTCACCGTGTTTAACTAATTAGCAGTGAGGTCAGTACAACATCAGAATATAAACCTTGCTTAAACTCAGCAGTGTCTTTTCACAAGCCCACAGGCTTCTCTAACTCAACAATGAGTCCTGTATAACATATTGTAGGTCAGCCCACATTGAAGAACATGCATGTAATACCTCTGTGTATAATCTTGGCTTTTCTAACTCAGTAGTGAGTCCTGTATAACATATTGTAGGTCTGCCCACATTCACAATGAGTCCTGTATAACATATTGTAGGTCAGCCCACATTGAAGAACATGCATGTAATACCTCTGTGTATAATCTTGGCTTTTCTAACTCAACAGTGAGTCCTGTATAACATATTGTAGGTCAGCCCACATTCAAGAACATGCATGTAATACCTCTGTATAATCTTGGCTTTTCTAACTCAGCAGTGAGTCCTGTATAACATATTGTAGATCAGCCCACATTCAAGAACATGCATGTAATACCTCTGTGTAATCTTGGCTTCTCTAACTCAACAGTGAGTCCTGTATAACATATTGTAGGTCAGCCCACATTCAAGAACATGCATGTAATACCTCTGTATAATCTTGGCTTTTCTAACTCAGCAGTGAGTCCTGTATAACATATTGTAGATCAGCCCACATTCAAGAACATGCATGTAATACCTCTGTGTATAATCTTGGCTTTTCTAACTCAGTAGTGAGTCCTGTATAACATATTGTAGATCAGCCCACATTCAAGAACATGCATGTGATACTTCTGTTAATCTAGCACTCAGCAATGAGTCCTCGTGTTTAAAGGCTGCTTTACACTATCAAAAGTTACTCTGTGATCACAGTAGGAATTTTGCATGGGTAAATTTTAAATTTTGAAGGATTTGTAAGAAATGTTTGAGGGATTAACTGACATAGTATTAAACACCGAGTCAATTTCCTCGAACATTTCTTACAAATCCTTCAAAACGTAGAATTTACCTTTGCAAAATTCCTACTGTGATCACAGAAACTTTGATAGTGTAAATCGGGTTTAATACAATGATCAAGCAGAGTCATCGTGTGCCTTATAGTAACACTCTGATTCATTGTTTATTTGTTACCCAATAAAGACAATTACAAGTTTGTTTAGGACCTTAGCACATTTTCAAAATTTTTAACACATCTGCTTTATATATCACCCCGATGGTTTGTTAATTTGCGGCGTACTTTCAAGAATTATAATTTAATTCACTCGTTCTAATTGATTTCATTTTACCCAAATTCAGCTACAGTTTACGTTAATGCAGTTTATATAATAATGAAATTATGGACTCCTCAAATTGACAACTGTAAAGAAATTGAATTACTTTAACATATGTGGAGTGAGTGTAAATAACAAGCTTTTCTGTTAAAAGTGAGCTTACATAGAAAGCTTTGTTTGGTTTATGATGTTGAGAGGATTAACGGATTAAAGGAATCCTACTTTTATCGAGAGTGGATGCTGGACATACAAGACTATATAGTGTTCAATTCTGCCGAGAAAAAGACGCACAATTCCATAGAGCATCGTGCTTTCTTGTTTGTAAATTAAAAGGCGTTAATTAAAACATCAAAGCTTGCAAAGAATTCTTGTGAAAAATCTGCGATATGGACGATTAGTTCGATAAATGTGTAAGTGTACTGTACTGCATCAATATCTGTGCTTTTTGTAGTAGATTACATACATATTCACTTACCCTTTGCAGTAAGTAACACTGCCTGCAAATCTGATATAGATTTAAGTCAACACAAGGGCACTTTTTTGTCTGTTAGTGAAAGGGTCAATTCGCAAAATAAACATGCTCAGATTAGTATATATATTGTGTTATGTAATCGAACAAGGGATTAAACCAACGTTTCAGTAAGGGTCATAGCTTATTCATCCAGTGCTAGAACTGACTGAAGAATATAAAGGAATCCAGCAGTGTTTCGTAGAGTCACACGCATAAAAACGACCAGGTTGTTCGTTTTCGCGCGTGTAGAATCACTCTTTTGGCTCCATCCTTCTTATATAACACCTGAGACCATTCTTGATATTCAAAATGCGAGCACTCGTGTAACTATCTGAAAATATAAAGACTAGAATTTGGACGTTTCGCGGAGCAAAAGCCCTTTGTACTTTGAAGTTGGTAGCGACATTCTTCGCATTATTGCAAAATTAATGTACATTGGTTAATGTACATCTCCCCTCGTTCAATTTTGTACAACGCCGAAACCGCTTTTGGTGATGCACCATGACACCAGCTCAATATTGAGTTGGGAGAGCTGCGTCTTAAGAAGTTCAACCCGAATTGCAAGGCGTTTATCATATGCGAAGAATTGATCATAAGTGTGTGAGAATTTTGCATAAAGGAAATATAGTCTCAAGCAGTTACGTCTAAGTTTGTTGGTGTAGATATACCAGCACCTGGTTAGAAAAGAACGCCACTTTGAGGACTTATATATTGGTTCGTAATATATACTAACTAGACTAGCAAGAATGCAAAAATGCTGCATTATCAAGCATTGTCTACCCATAAGACGCCAGTTTTGTATTTGATGTATTTTTGGAATGTGTGCTTTAGCAACCGTGCGTTAAAATCACTACGCCAGAATGTTCCAGAGGCCAGTCTATGATTATAACACTTTTAAATACCACCTGGAGTGCCTGATCATTAATTTGGTTAACATTTAACTTCCGTAATAGAGAGTAAATGTCTATTGCACTCTTCCCCAATAGTCCTTGTTTTCATTGACTTTCAATCCTTGGTCAGAACTCTACTCAAGCTCTTAAAATAATTGAGGAGAAAGAGCTACCTTTACATTGACATCAGTAAATGGTTAGACTTTCGCGTCTTCTCGTATAAGAACGCTAAATCGTAGATACCTCGGATCCCTTATCAATCGGACAATAGCTTGTTGGGAAATCCGCTCACCAATGAATGAAAAACCGCTCAATAAACTCGAACTCAAAATGTGGCTCAGTGGCTATTTGCTCATGTCACGTAGAATCGGGCTAAAGATAAGGCCTTTCGTCGAGAAGACTCGAAACATCGAATTTCTAATAAATAGTAAAATCTTTTGTCGGTAATATATTTGATATTACGGGATTAATCGGCTTAACCAGCGATCACGATAATCGTGAGCGAGACTTTCGCTTGAAACAGGTGCTGTCACAACAGGAGTCGCCCAAACTCCATTCCAGAACCTTATAGGAATTGTCTACTGAACTATAAGTAATCAAAATATACCTTAATGTTGCTGTAGTAACCATTCTCTTACATTTCTGAGGTTATTGATACCTCCCGTATGTTACAACTGTCTGTGTGGGGACGAGGTTTAAGTCACTGGGCTCGAATTATGCATGAGTGTATGGTGGCTGATTGCTAGTCATTGCACCAAGCACTTTATCATATGGTATTTGTAATACTGTACCTTACCCTACATCAATGAAAATGTTCTGTAAACTGAGTTGAAGAAGTGCGGAAAATCTCAAGTCTAGTGCGTGCGTGTAACAGGAAACTAATCGTTCGTAAATTGCATCAAGAACACTTTCATTTGGCAAGAAAAACGTCTTTGTTTGAGGAAAAATGCCAAACGTTTGAGAGATTCATTTTCTAACGGGGAATTGCGAAATAATTATAAGGTACTAAAACAAATTAAGTCTAGACCTTCTGTGTGATAACAATATGACATGACCGGCTCCTCACGCAACCTCCACAACACTATTTTTGTTTTTGTTTCTTTGAAAAGGATAAAAAAAAACGCCGACACGTTTGAAACGAAGACCGTCCGTCGTCTGCAGTGTGTCTGCAGGTAAAGCTAGACACTAGAGATTTGAATTTCGCCGTTGGCGATCTATATAAGATATACCGTACGGCGTTAATTAAGTAATTAAGGTCTCTATTCAGTATTGTTCATGATTGTTGGATAGCTGCACATTTCCAGACAAAGCGTGTTTGTACGAAAGCTCCGCTCAATTTGTTTTATGCCTTCCAGATAATTACCAGCAGAACGAAGACAGTTTTCTGATTTTGGGTTTACAACTCAGTTTGCAGAACATTGTCATTGATGTAGACTAAAGCTGGTGTTACACGGAGCAACAAAATTGCTGCAACTTGCAACAAAATCTGATTTCAACGCATGTTAAGTAGAAATGTCGACACATGTTGCCTCGTGATTTGTAATGTATGTGTAAGCATTTTCAACATGCGTTGAAATCAGATTTTGTTGCAAGTTGCAGCAATTTTGTTGCTCGTGTAACTCCACCTTAAAGTACAGTATTAAAGAACCATGCAGTTGCTCTGTTTGGTAGAATTCTTTTGACTGGACTTCTACACCCTCCCCCTCCCCTACACGTTCACTGGACTTCTACACCCCCTTGCACGTTTGTAAGTATGCAGAGTACTGTATAGAGCCATACAATTGTACAGATTTTGTACATGGAATTTCGAACCAGGAGCAGTTGCGAAAAATGCAACTATGGGTCCTTTGGCTGCAGCTCTCTAACCAACTGAGCTACAGAGGCCAGTTGTCAAGCTCTATACGTGAACTTGCGATTGGGGCTCGACAACTGGCCTCTGTAACTCAGTTGGTTAGAGCGCTTTATCGGAACCGCGGAGTCGCAGAACTCACTGCTGCATTGTCATTGTAGTACATGTTCTTGAATGTGGCTACCTTCGATGGATCTGATATTGTACAGAACTCACTGTTGAGTTCGAGACTGAGTTAAGCATGGCAGCAACTTTTAACAGTCTGGTTAAATCAATCCAAATTCCTGGTCAGACCTGTTCCAGGACGTCTAACCAAACTAAACCGAAATGTTATTTTTAGTTTAGGTAATCTAGGCTAGGAACTTTTTCATTCAAGTGTTTTTGAAATGTACAAAAGTCTGTTCAGACACGCTCTGAATGCGGACATGTCAGCAGTCGCTTGCCTGTCGACACCTTCATAAATAGTATTTTTAAAACGCTCCGTGTGCAAACAAGGCTGAGTAATTTTAATACGCTGTTCTTTCTACGCATGCAAACGCGTATATAAACACATTCCTTGTGTGTAATGAAGACGCTTACCATTTTCTGAACACAGTTGATGCTAATATAGATTATAGGTAAGTGACGTTAACAGGTTTTTGATTTTGGCATGTACACTGAATTGTAGGGCTATAGCTATAGTATCGAGCTAGACAGTGACTATCAACCAACACTAGCTGTTTACACGTATGTCTATAGTAGCCTATGTAATTTGAAGTAAGACTTTGACTGTATGAAAAACTGATCAGTCAAGCATCATTCTTTGGGGTTTTGGAGTAAAGAAGGGTTTTACTTTTAGCACGTGCATGGTTTTATTATTAGTCAGGATTTTGAAGATTACAAAATCGTCACTATGGGAATTTGGGCATCCCAAAGTCCTCATATTTACCCATAAACCTGACACTGCCATCAACGTAGCATATAGTGTTTTAAAATCTTTCACCAATATGCTTTTAAAATTCGTTAATAAATCACGCTGACTTTTCTGAATATTGTACGACGGTGTATGTTTATGCCATATTAACACGCAGCATGGTGTATTTAGTCCGTTGATATATATGCCAGAGGTTATTAGAAAATATTTGTGAAAATTTGTTTCAGGAAACGTGTGCTTCTGTTCAATTATTTTATAAATCCTCGGCTAACTTCAAACAGTTGCGATTTGTCAAAACTATCACAGTTTCTTAAATTCTGTTCGTACTGAATTTTATTTAAGATTGTATTTGTACCATTTCATTCATTGCATCAATGTTGCATTTTCTACTGCTGTGTAATTGCTCAGTTGAGTATATTTATGCTTTCTGGCAAGTGGCAATTCTGTGTGACAAAAACAGCTGGAACAAATGTGTAACCATGAAACTATATAAACAACATTTAATAACACCGCGTAAACAGCATGACATTCAAAGGCAATTTTTATTCATATCCATAACTTGTTTTTACTCCCTGAGCATATAATTTCATTTTAACATTCTACAAATGAAGTGAATGGTTTCGTAAAATATTTTACTGTGAACAGCACGTTTTTATTAACCTAATTTGCATATTTTCCGCAAAGATTCTAAATTGGATTATCAGGATTCCAAATTTGATATGTATGTGTTTTAAAATGATAGTACATCGTTGACATTTCAGAATTATACAGTAATTTCGAGCCGTTCTTTGATCTTAAATTTTTATTGAACCCGACCTTTTAACTGCCAGTCTGCAGTCTTCGACAAGTGAAGCAATAATGAATTGAACAAAGGAATGTGACAATGGTTTACAATATTCCTATAGGCTTAGCCTTAGTTCAATTCATTATTGGTTTCCCTGTTGAAAACTGCAGATTGTTGCAGCTTGTATTCAATGAAAGTCTAAGATCTGGGTCCGGTTGTATCAAGCCCGTTTAGCTTAAACAGTGGTTAAGCTCAAAATAGAAAGCAAGTCTATAGATTCATTCAACAACTAAACTAAAAGTTTTGAACTTTAATAGAACGATAATGTTTACAACTACATATTCAGTGCAGAATATTTAAGTTGACTGATTCACGAGAGAGAAAAGAGTGTTTTTAATTTTGACTTATCCACGCTCTTCCGATCTAAACGGGCTTGATACAACCGGCCCCAGAACGTCTTCAAATCATATTGAAAATCTTGAAAAATAAAAAAAATAATTTCAACGAAAACGATGTTATTTTGTCTTTTTCAGGAAATTGAAAACACTTTGCAGTCGAGGTCTATTGTAGCTATGTTGTAGCCTGTAGTTTGTTTCTTTTGTTGTTTTACTCGCTAGGTTGCACTCATAAAAATCTCACAACTTATCAACAAAATGTGTTCGCACTGCTTGTTCCCAGTTGTTAGCAAGTTGATGACAACAAGCTCGTAGCAACTTGTTACGAACAGCTTGTATTAGTCTTGTTGGAACAACTTGTAGCAAGTCTGTTACCGTCATCGTCCTTGTAACAAGATGATAACAACTTGTTCCAGACTTGTCACAACAAATGGGAACAAGCAGTGCGAACACATCCTGATATCGACTTCACAACAACCTTGTTGCAACTTGTTTGCAGATCTGTGACAACTTGCGCATTTTTACGCGTGTAGTTGACTCTTTTTTATGTCCTAGGTTTTGTGTTTTGAATGGCTTGCAAACAAGAAGCTAGCGTTGTAAGAGTGGATGGCTTTCCAAGCGAGAGGCCTGAAACACAGGAGAAGATGTCAGATGGAGATAAGTTGACACAACATGTTGAAAATGTTGTAAGAACGTGGGCTTTGGTGAAGAAAGATTTGGTGGGCAATGGAATTGTTTTTTATATGAGGTTAGTATCTAACTGCTACTGCCTACTGGATCAATTAAGGATGACGCTAACTGGACCTATATAGGGAGAACAGTTTAGAACTGATAGAGCTATCCAGTGTAAATAAAGTTAGTTTAGTTTAGGTTTCCTCCTGTAGTAACACTGGATCAATAAGAGATGATCCCCTCTAGGAAGAACAGTTTAGAACTGAGAGAGCTATCCAATATAAATAAAGTTAGTTTAGTTTAGGAGTTTCCTCCTGTAGTAACACTGGATCAATAAGAGATACCCTTACTGGACCACTAGGAAGAACAGTTTAGAACTGATAGATCTCTCCGGTATAAATAAAGTTATTTTAGTTTGGGTTTCTTCATCAAAGATAACAATCCAAATTCAAACAATCCAAATTGTTTATTCAGATTATTCAGTGAAAACCCAGAAGTGAAAAGTTTGTTTTCATTTGCGTCGAGTATGAACACGGAGGAGGTACAACACGACAATCCAGGTCTACGGCGGCAAGCTAAGACGCTCATGTCCATGATTGATTACGCCATTCGTTGTCTTGGTAACCTAAAAGATCTTGTCCCAAAGCTGAAAACATTGGGCAAGAGACATTTTGTTAAATATAATGTGAAGCCAGAGCACTTTAAGGTACGCTAGTTGTAGTTATTTTATCATCGTCTGACCATCACCACAATCATCATGACCACTCAACAAACATATTCAGCTCACATATTTAGTTTAATTGCTTACACACGTAAAAACGCACAAGTTGTAACAAACCTGCAGCAGACTTGTAGCAATGCTGTTCAAACAACTTGTCAACAGGATGTGTTCGCACTGCTTGTTCCCAGCTTGTTGACAACTTGCTACAAGGTTGTTGAGCTCAACAGACTTGTTACAAGTTGTTCCGACAACTTGTTATCGTCCTGCAATTCAACAATTTGTCAACAAGTTGTGAGTGACAAGCTTGTAGCAACTTCATGAAATAACAGCATTGTTACAACTTGTTGACAAGCTTGCTACAAGCCTGTTGCGAACACATCTTGTTGACAAGTTGTGAGATTTTTACGTGTGTACACACGTAAAAATCTCACATCTTGTAACAAGTCTGCCAACAAGCCGTCAACAAATGTATTCGCACTGCTTGTCACAAGTTAACCTGAGTATCAGGCTCTATTTTACAAATAGAGCCTGACACAAAACTTAACCTGATCGCTTTCCGCCCACAGCAAAGTTTATATTTAGTATCCAATCAAAATGTCGCAGGAGAAATTTAAATTTCACACAACGACAACAACAATCTAATTATAGCATAGGCAGCCCACTAAACGGCTGAATTTAAATTAAAACTGCAATGAACTTATAAAATTAACAAAAATAATCACAAATTAGCGAAATATATTGCAAATGTAGCTTATATTAAATCGGCACCCGATTGCTCTCTCCTCCGCAGAGGTTTCAGTGAGAGGTTTCAGTGACTACAATGAGCTTTACATGGCGCTTGCCGTATTTATCAACGAACTGACGTATAATTATAAAGTATACTTTATAACTATACGTCAGTCGATAGTGCAATCTGATGGCGATTTAATATAAGCTACATTTGCAATATATTTCGCTAATTTGCGATTATTTTATAATTTTACTGCAGTTTTAATTTAAATTCAGCCGTTTAGTGGGCCGGCTATAATTGTAGTTGTGAATTGTGATCGTTATAAAATATTTCAACAACAATAGTATAATCTAATTAGCACCAGCCAATCAAATGACAGATTTAAAAATCGTTTGTCTAATCGGCCAATCAGCGCTCAGTCCAGATTCTGGACTGAACAACCAGGCAAAATGCCACTTTTGTGTCAGGCCGTACTTTTCTCCCCTTCGCCCACGATCAGGCGTGCCTTTGCCCTAAAAAGTACGGCCTGATACTCAGGTTAGTCACAAGTTGTCAACAGGTTTGGAACAACTTGTTCACAACTTGTAACAACCTTGTTGAAATTATCAGACTTGTTGCAAGGTTGTTCTGACAAGTCCGTTACATGCTTGATATAACAAGATTGTTACAACCTTGTGTTGACAACCTTGTAACATCCTTGTTATATCATGACTGTAACAAACTTGTTAGAACAACCTTGTAACTAGTCTGATAATGCCATCAAGCTTGTTACAAGTTGTTAACAGCTTGTTCCAAACTTGTTACAACAAACTGGATACAAGCAATGCGAACACAACTTGTTGACAGCTTGTGAACAGACATGTAACAACTTGTGTGTTTTTACGTGTATAGTTGTCCATTCTATGCACGTGAGTTACACGTGTAAAAACGCACAAGTTGTAAAAAACCCGTTGTTCCAATAACTTGTCAACAGGATGTGTTCGCACTGCTTGTTCCCAGCTTGTTGACGAGTTGCTACAAGGTTGTTGAACTCAACAGACTTGTTACAAGTTGTTCCAACAACTAGTTATCGTCCTGCAATTCAACAAATTGTGAGTGACAACCTTGTAGCAACTTGATAACGTAACAACATTGTTACAACTTGTTGAAAAGCTTGCTACAAGCCTGTTGCGAACACAACTTGTTGACAAGTTGTGCGATTTTTACGTGTGTAACTGAAGCTAACATGTTGGTCGCCTTGTTTCAAGTCTATGATGGGTAATGTTGCCTGATGTTGATTCAGGTTTGGCTGAGTTTAAAAATTTTATCCAACTTTGCCCAACGTCGTCTGACGACCAAGAAAGTTGGGCGATGCTGGACTCGTTTGAACGCTTTATGTTTTTCTCATCAAACAGGCCGTTGGCGCCGCTTTACTTTGGACACTCAAGGAAGGACTAGGAGAAATATTCACGCGTGACGTGGACGCTGCGTGGACTGCTATTTTTAGAATACTTGCTGACGTCATGATCGAAGGTGGAAAAGAGGGACTGGCGGAAATCAAGTCGCGTAGTACTGGTAACGAGTAGGTGGACAATATAGGCACAACACTACAACGTTCATTGTAGGTGGGTTTCAAGCAATTCTGGGAGACGTTAATGCATCGTTTACACTGTGGCCGATAACTTTCCGTAGCGACATGAAAAACATCTATCCGTACCTTTTAGGAACGCTATTTTCAGAGAAATTATTGCAACGGAGAGATGTTGTTTCGTTTAGCTTCTGAAAGTTGTACATTCCGTATCTGATAGGTGCTTTTTCGCGCCGCTACGTAAAGCCATCCGGGATGGTGGAAACCCAGCCTAAAGGCTCATTTACACTGTAATTTTTGCGGCGATTTCTAGTTGAAGTTGAACGAGTAGAAGAGTTCTGAATGTTCTGAGTTTATGTACCCCCATCTGGCTCGTCCCCAGCATCAGAAGAAATCTCACTTGACATCGTAGCAAAAATGCACTGCAAACGGGCCTTAACATAAAGGCAGGCGGGGGTCAAATCAATTCTAATCACATTCTTTTGTTTTATTGAAAGTCACCTATATGTATTGATTTTGCCTTTGATGGCAAGTACACATAATGAAATATATTTAGCATAATTTCCGTGCTGCAATAAGCGAGGCAAAACCGCAAGAAATTATAAATCTTCTATAAATATTTGATGTAATATATCTATCAAATATAAATGTTGTATGAATTTAATGTCAAGATATTTTAGAAAGTTGTCTTATATAAAAAATAAATTCTATCGACATATTGGTTGAAAATGTGAAAGGTATATTGAAATACAAAATTTACGGTAACCACTGCGTATTCTAATAAAATACAATACAATGGAAACTCCCAAGAAATTCATATTTTTAATTCAACGTTTCGACTACTGAAATAAAAATATGATATGATTTTATATCGAAATACGCCGGCTAACCATCCAGGTCTTTTCAGACCAGCTGTATCAATTTTGCAGGGGGGAGTTTTTAGTTTTTGTAAAATTTGTAAAATTCAGGGGGGGGTGCGGTGAAGACATAAACTTTTATACAAAATATTTTTTTGTAATGGTATAGTATAGTGTGCATAGTACGTGAAATTTAACTGCGTTTGGACAATAAATGTTGAATAAAAAACACCACAAATCACTATGAAACAGCAAGGCATCCTTTTGTTGTTTATTGTACTTCTGTACAATATTTCATTGGCGTTTTTCGCACCTTTGGAATCGAATGACAACTCTGTGTCTGTGGAATATGGCGGCGTGACAGCCGAACAGCTACTTGCTTACTCAAAACACGACGCCAAGTACAACGTTATATCCAACGAAATTGATTCATTTTCATGGCCTTCTTTTCTAAAAGGTCTCGAATGCGATGCTTGTAAGTTTATAACCGGTTTTATGCAGGGCTTATTTCGTTTGAACAAGACAGACGAATTCATTGCAAGCGCTGCTATATTTTGGTGTGAAAAATTGAAAATTGAAGACACTCGCGTCTGCTCTGGAATAATCCCAGAATTTAAAAACGAAGCGTTGAGCGTGTTCGATGAAGTTGGACTAGCACCGAAGGAAATTTGTGGGTTAATTCTTGGTCCTTCGTGTAGTGTAGTTAGAGATTTATATCCAGATTGGAACATCAGTTTACCAAATGTACCCAAGCCACCCGTTCATCCTATACCGTCGCCGAAAGTGAGTAGCTAGCTGGATTTTTATTTGTTTTGCTTTGTATAAAGCATGTTTGTATTAAATTGGGGAGGTTTTTAAAGTTATTTAGGTTTTTTAAAGATAATTGATGGTGGATTGTGAAGGAATTTAGTTTTGTTTATGTTGTTGTTGAAAGTCACGAGATTTGGCAATTCAATTGTGGCAATTAATACGTCAGACAAGGTCAATGTCATCCCACAGCAGCAATGATAATTTTTTAAGATACTTCTGACACAAAGTCCCAAACCACGGCAGCTTATTGTAGAATACTACCTACACTGAACCACCACGTTTGAGATATCTTTTTCAGGTAGTTCAGACACAAACCACGACAGCTAGCTTATTGTAGAATACTACCTACACTGGACCACGTACCACGTTTCAGACACAAACCACAACAGCTTATTAAATAGTAGAATACTATTTAGTACACTGGATCACCATTTTAACGTTTGAGATATCTTTTTCAGGTAGTTCAGACACAAACCACGACAGCTAGCTTATTGTAGAATACTACCTACACTGGACCACGTACCACGTTTCAGACACAAACCACAACAGCTTATTAAATAGTAGAATACTATTTAGTACACTGGATCACCATTTTAATGGATATTAGTATATTTTAGCCTGGTTCTCCAACATATACAATCCTTCAGTTATCTGATGTCCATATTGACCATCAATATGCTGAAAACACAAGCACTAAATGTGGAGAGCCATTGTGCTGTAGGAAATATAATGGTATGTTAGTTTGGATGTAACTGCATAAGGAGTATCTTAATTGCAAATACTCTAGGGTCCAGGCATGTTGGAAAATTCTTAAAGGAAATCCTGGAAAAGGTTTTGGCCATAACATTCAATAAAACTGAATATACCTGGGGTTTTGTAAATGGCATCTTTGAACGAAATTTGTACAATAGATTTTTGTTTCATCCATCTACGAATATTCCCAATCTATACACACATAGAAATGCACAAGTTGTAACAAACCTGCAGCATACTTGTAGCAATGCTGTTCTAACAACTTGTCAACAGGATGTGTTCGCACTGCTTGTTCCCAGCTTGTTGACAACTTGCTACAAGGTTGTTGAGCTCGACAGACTTGTTACAAGTTATTTGAACAACTTGTTATCGTCCTGCAATTCAACAATTTGTCAATAACCAGTTGTGAGTGACAACCTTGTAGCAACCTCATAAAACAACAGCATTGTTACAACATGTCGACAAGCTTGCGAACACATCTTGTTGACAAGTTGTGAGATTTTTATGTGTGTGCATCTCAAACATATGCCATCCTATTGTTATGAGTTTCTCCAGAAATGAATATTTTTTAGTCAAATCTAAAAACATGCCATTAAGTAATTAATATGGTGCTCTTGTTCTTGGTCTAGGTGAAGGCAAGGCGGGTTACTGGGGGTCATATGAATGTGACATTCCAATGAGAACATTTGAAGCTTCATTGAAACATATCAAAGACATTCATCAACATGTAAGCTGACATTGTCAATATCACTTGTTAGTAATGTGCCTGATGACGTACTATTAGATAACAAGGCCTTATCATGATGACCACAAATTTTTAACTTATAGATTGATTTTGTGTATTGGACCGGAGATGTACCACCACATAATGTTTGGAATCAATCACGAACTGATCAGGTATTCATGTCTACTCTCTAAATATAACTTTGTAATCAGTTGCTACTTAACTCATTGAGCACCATTAGACAAAGTAAAATAATAAAGTAGGGTGCATCGGCACAATTGGCAGCTTAACAACTAACTAGTATTTAAACTTTATTATTTTTCAAGCTTGTAGCAATGGAGTCAGCAGTTAAGTTGTTTATAAAATATTTTCCAAACACGCCTGTTTATCCTGCCATGGGGAATCATGAGAGCGCTCCAGTTAACAGGTTTGCATCAGATTCTTAATCATTAAATTTAAAGAGTTAATGGAACAGTAAACTTGATATTTATTAAAATATTTTTCTCATTTAGTTTTCCTCCACCCTATGTCAAGGGTCACAGTTCAAATAAATGGCTTTTAGACGCTTTTGCAGATTTCTGGTCATTCTGGCTGCCCTCAGATACCATGCCCACTATTAGAAGGTATTTATGACAAAAAATCCCATTTTGACCAACTTTTTCACTGTCAAAGTTTCCGGATATGATGTCATTAGGTGAATTGCAAATTAGTTTTCCTTTGTGTTTTGTACCAAAAATTCACCTAATGACATCATATCCGGAAACTTTGACAGTGAAAAAGTTGATCAAGATGAGGTTTTTTACTATGAAGATACATTACATTTCTTCTCAGAATATTCCAAATATTACACATACAAAAAATTATATTTGTGGTTAGTCACATGTTAATTATTTTACTCTGTGTAATGCAAGATGATTTTACATAAGGGAAGAGTGCTAGCTGCCTCTCAATGGGTTAAGCATCTTTAAATATACCCATCATACTTATATTTATACTTACCACTACATTAATTGAGATGAGATTCATTGAGGATGACAAGTATTAATTATTTACCACACAATATTATTAATTGCTGTAATTATTTCATTCAATATTTTAGAGGAGGTTATTATACTGTGTTACATACAAAAGGTTTCAGAATCATTTCATTGAATGACAATTATTGCAACAACGAAAACTGGTAGGTTCACTAGAATTTTGACTTTAGCTTTAGATTGGGGTTAGGATTAGGGGTAGGGATTAAAATTAGGATTGAGGTTGTTACTTCATAGTTTAAGGTTGAAAAATTACTGTATCTTAATTGTGGATATGGAAATTGATCGTGTAATAATTGGACGTGAAATGATGAGTGTTTGATATTTCTCCAGGTGGTTATTGATCAACAACACAGACCCAGCGGGAGAACTTCAGTGGCTCATCAAAGTTTTACAGGCTGCAGAGGACAGTAAGGAAAAGGTGATCATTTGTGATCCTCGTGTACATGCTTGATTCATGTCTGGGTTCGATTTCTACAATATACAGCTGTTAGGTTCACTTCAGTATCATGTGAGAAGAGTGCTCCATTTTGACTCTACCACAGGTTTTCTCTGGGTATTGCAATTTCCTCCTGTAGTAACACTGGATCAATAAGAGATGATCCTTACTGCACCTCTGGGGAGAACAGTTTAGAACTGATAGAACTATCCAGTATAAATAAAGTTAGTTTAGTTTACGTTTCCTCCTGTAGTAACACTGGATCAATAAGAGATGATCCTTACTGGACCTCTGGGAAGAACAGATTAGAACTGATAGAGTTATCCAGCATAAATAAAGTTAGTTTAGTTTAGGTTTCCTCCTGTAGTAACACTGGATCAATAAGAGATGATCCTTACTGGACCTCTGGGAAGAACAGATTAGAACTGATAGAGTTATCCAGTATAAATAAAGTTAGTTTAGTTTAGGTTTTCTCCTGTAGTAACATTGGATCAATAAGAGATGATCCTTACTGGATCTCTAGGAAGAACAGTTTAGAACTGATAGAGCTATCCAGTATAAATAAAGTTAGTTTAGTTTAGGTTTCCTCCTGTAGTAACACTGGATCAATAAGAAATGATCCTTACTGGACCTCTAGGAAGAACAGATTAGAACTGATAGAGTTATCCAGTATAAATAAAGTTAGTTTAGTTTAGGTTTCCTCCTGTAGTAACATTGGATCAATAAAAGGAAGACTTTACTAGACCTCTAAGGAGAACAGTTTAGAAGCAAGAAATGATCCTTACTGGACCTCTAGGAAGAACAGATTAGAACTGATAGAGTTATCCAGTATAAATAAAGTTAGTTTAGTTTAGGTTTCCTCCTGTAACATTGGATCAATAATGGAAGACTTTACTAGACCTCTAAGGAGAACAGTTTAGAAGCAAGAGCGCTTTCCAGTATAAAGACGTTACGTTTACGTTTTAATTGCTGTGGAATAAAGATAGAGATTCGTCAAGAAAAGCTTGCTCATCTGAACACAACCTCTTTCCCAGACTCTCTCCTCTTAACGAGGTTGGTCTGAACGACCTTATCAATGTCATACCTAGAGCATGCCTGTTCGCAGGTTAGGTGGTGGGCGAGTGCCTTATCTGAAGAGTAGATTACGTTATTTTCCCTAGGTGCACATCATAGGTCACATGCCAGTGGGTCGTTCAACCTGTCTCAAACACTGGAGTTGGAATTATTACAAGATCATTGATCGTTATGAAAGTATTATCCTGGGGCAATTCTTTGGACATACGCATCAAGATCACTTCGAGTTGTATTATGATCTGGAAAATAAAACACGAGCCACAAAGTAAGTGCGTTTGATCGAGGGCGTTGCTCACATGTGTAATTATAGTCAATAGAAGCATAGGCGTACGGGGGGGGGGGGGCAGTTTTGGGGCAGTTGCAATATCCCAGTTTTTGGGCAGTCGGCAAATATTCATCAATAGTCGGGCAATTTCTTTGGTTTGTACTAAAATGGGATAAATTCTGTCAATTTTGTCTAAAATTATGAAATTTTGGCAAATTTTTGTGATTTTTAGCACTCTGGTGTTAAGGTTCAAAGCAACATTGGTTGTCCGAAAACTCCCACGGGGTGGTCGCCAAAATAATTTTCCGGAAAATTTTGCGCGATAGTCAAGAATCAAATTTTGGGCAATGTGGAATTTTTTTTGGGCAAAAGCTTACCCCCCCCCCCCAGAATTTAGCGGCCCCGTACGCCTATGAATAGAAGAAGGAAGTTAGAGAACTCGTTGAAGACATAATACACTTCATTATCTGCATGTCTTGGTTTATGCAAGAAATTATCGGTTCATTGTCACGTGTGTATTGTATTTTCACCAGAGCAACCAATAGCAGTGTCTTGTTCTTGTATACGTCTACAAATTTTAATTTGTATCTGAATAATCATTGTGCACCATCAGACCTTAAACCCAGTGTTGACCCACAGTGGCTCGAATACTTTAATAAGGTTATCTGACTTGGATTAGCGTTAAAGCTACTTCAGATACCCTGTGCTAACTTTGTTTTAATAATGTGTGGAAAAACAATTGTAATTATGTATTTTTGACTGGTGCGAAATAAATATCTTCTTCTATCACGACTGGGTAATTAAACCAACACACTGCTATCGGTTGGTTGGGGGGGAAAATACTGTACAATCCACACGTGACGATGAACCGACCATTTATTGCATAAACCAAGACATAAACAACAAAAACATAGATAATGAGATTTATTATGTTTGCATCGAATCTGCATATAATATATATTACATATATTACTTTTGTAAATTATTTCATTCTCCGTTTTAGTATCGCGTACATTGGTCCAAGTTTAACAACGTATCAAAATTTAAATCCAGGATATCGTATGTATACTGTAGATGGAAATTATGATAAATCCACTTATGTAAGTATACCGTCATTTGCATCAGACTATTTTACTCAAAACATTTCTTATGGTCACATGTTTGATCAGTCAATAATAGTAAAACTAGCCTTGCGCTAATACTTGAAACATTTTAAAACATTAATATAATTTCTTTTCCCCAGGCCGTGTTAGATCACTCTACATACTACTTGGATCTTGTTAGTACAACTAGAGACAAAATGGTCTGGAAGTTTGAATACAGTGCTAAGGTAACTAATCTTGTTGATTCATGTTTTCATTCTGTCAAGAAGCTTGTGATAGACCGATAATCGATGTTGCCTATTCGGCGGATTTTTGCCTTGTCGGTAGACGAGTGTTAAAAAGTGCCCAAATTAAGAAATGAACCAAATAACTAAAAAGACCACCTCAAAATTACTAAGTATACAAAGTTTGAAGACGTTTACATGAATACCCTTCGAATAATAAGTTTTCGAAAATTGTGAAATTACTGATTAAAAGATTGTTTTTGGGACGCGCGTCCCAAAAACAAAAATTACAATACACTTCTTAGTAAATATCACGATTTTCGAAGGCTTATTATCCGGAGGATATTCATGTAAACGTCTTCAAACTTTGTATACTTACTAATATTCAGGTGGTCTTTTTAGTGATTTGTTTCATTTCTTAATTTGGGCATTTTTTTACAATCGTCCCCAGTCCACTCATCAACTTCGGAATGGCTAATCGGAATCGTTAGAATTATCTGTATTTCCGATGTGTAAAACCAATTGTTGAGAAAATGCGCACTTTAAAAATTCTATTCAATTTCTATTGTCTATTTCTGAAATAGGAAGCCTACAGAATGAGCTCTCTACAGCCTGCTGAGTGGGATGATTTCGTCACTCGTTTGGGAAATAATTACACTATGTTTCAGATGTATTACAAGTAAGTAGAAGCTAACCACACGCATAGGACGTTTCTGTTGCCGGAATGGCGGCTTTCAGATATACAAAATTTTCTGATTCACAATAGATTTTTGCACGATTTTTTCCGTTAAGAATAATTTGTTAAAACACAACTGTTGAAATGCGTACATTTCACAAGATACAGCATTCAAAAACTCATTAATAATTCATGAGGAAAATACAAAAGAAATCACTGTCGTGTCGGTCATGATTTTTTATCTCATATAAAACTGGTTACCGTTTTTATATGTGATAAAAAATCATGTTAATTTACATAAACTTTAGTTTTGATTTTGTCGGCTTAGACAACGTTGATTTTTAAAATTACTTCGCCAATGAACTTATCAGAGAGTTTATTTTTTAAGCCATTTAAAAGACTCGCAGTCCGTGCCTTGACAGATATAAGCGAGTTTAAGACCTTGACGACGAACTACCGACTACGTTTGAAATAGTTTTTGTTATATGTATGCAAATACTAAATGCTTGTCATAACAAATTTATCCCAAATATGTTTTATGTGCATGGCTCTGTGTTCGGTAAGATTCATCTTTTAACTTTCATTATTTCTTTATAAAAACTCTCTCCAACCTGTAACGTTGCGTAGTCAGTTTCGGTGCTGTGTTCTTGATTCTGTTTTACAACACAAGAATGTGATTTTTATGCTGTAGCCAAGCTCGCTACGGTGAAAAGTATGCTCTGGGATATGTAAATTTTGTCTGCCTCTGTTAAAGCAATGCGAAAACAAGCTTTCAACCGTACTCCGTATACCCGTTGTTCGTTGTCGGCATCGTAAACTCCCTATAAAACACTCGACTATCAGGGGTATTTTCAGGCACTTTAGGCTTAGTACTACCGTTTTTCAGAAGAAGATTGAGTTTCTTTTGGGGGGAGGAGGACGTTAAAAAATTTTGTGTTCAGGGGCGCGCATTCCAAAATATTTCGGGACCAACTTTTTACGTGTTTACATTTTGGAAGTGGGGGTTGCACGAGGCGCCTAGCGGGAAATTTTGAAACTTTGAAGTCTCTAGATCGTCGGAAATGGCATTTTCAAAGTCTAGTTTGGCCATCAGGTAGCTGTAGAGCACAGAAAGAGAGTTGATAATGGAACATTTACATTAAAAAAATCAAATTGTGAAAAAAAATCATTGTGGAGGATAGATCTTTCCCCTTTTAAGTGAAATTTTGATCTAGACAAGTCTGGACTATACAATTACTTTATGGTTTCCGTGTTTGGATGGCCTGATCCAAACACGCGGGAATGTTGCGAGAGTTAAGAAAAGCGCGCGAAGCACGAACCGAAGGCGAGTGATTTTGCGCGCTTTTCTTAACTCGAGCAACATTCCCAAGTGTTTGGATCAGGTCATCCTAACAGGGAAACCATAAAGTAATTGTTTTATAAAATAACAACAACACGATAATCTTCCGTGTTTGGATGGCCTGATCCAAACACGGGTTTCGACCAATCAGAGCACGCGTTATATACATGTTATTTTATAAAAAAATTTCATCACAGGTTGAAAGAGAATCACAAAATTAGTAATATACCGAAGTTTCGTTGCGAAATGTTGTAAAATGCGGATAATATAGCCTTGCGAAGTTTGCCGTTTTTCAGTCATTTTGCATTACAAACGGGAAATTGATAATCAGATGATCAAACTGATTATCAATTTCCCATTCGCAACGAAACTTCGGAATATTACTAATTTTGTGATGCTCTTTCAAGCTGTGATGAAATTTTTGTTCAGGCTAGTCTAGATCAAAATTTCACTTAAAAGGGGAAAGGTCTATTGAAGATTGAGTATTTACTACCGTGTACCGGTAGTAGAAAAGTGCTTGAAAATATCCCTGGGCTGTTGCCTCGTGATAAAGCAGTCCTGTTCGTTTACAGCATGGGCTGCTGTATATATTCTATATCTTCATCTAGATACAAATGGAAATGTTCTCCGTTTGGCGCGAAGTGTACAACGAGAGCCTGCATTGTGGGCGAGATGTGTGACCTGCGATCAGGCAGATCACATGACGACGACTTTTTCTGCAGAAACGTAACCAGGCCTGAATACAATATGTGCTGAGTCAGCTTAACGAAAGAAAGGTCACGTGAGTCTTTGGTTTGAAAATTTTCATATGCGGTGTGAAATATCACTATAAAATAAGATATTGGGATTTTGTACGCAAATATAGTTAAATTTTATTATTTAATCAGTCGTGATGCATGCATAAGTGTTTCTATAAATTAATGTATAAATAAATAGTACGATTCTGAATTAGGGAGCCTCTTTTTCAGGATATCGTAATATTAAACTGCTTATTTTAAATTGAAAAGGTATTATTTAATCATTCATAAATATTCAAAAATAGTTAAGATTGTTATATGGCATTTTATGTTCTGAAATTAAAAAAATATTGATATTGTGATATGGTATTTTATGTTCTGAAATTCAAAAATTATTGATATTGTTATATGGTATTTTGTGATCTGAAATTCTAAAATTATTGATATTGTTATACAGTCTCTTCCGTTCTGAGCTTTGTGTAAAGTTTCACTACACGCGCGTGAAAACGTTTACAGTTCACACTTCAGAAGCCCTAACATCAAGGAAGTATTGTTCTGATCGTATTTGCAACCACTAGTGTCTTGCTCGCGCAAGGACAAGGTATGTGTTGTTTTGCCTTGACATATACCAGTGGCAAAGCTAGCCATAGCAACTGCTCATGCTACGCTAATAAACCTACGTCTAAATATAGGTTAAAGACAATCTAGCTTTGCCATTGACTTATATTTCATGTTGTTTGATGTTGTCTAAGTCCATGTTTATACAGCCCTCAGTCTGACCTTCATTTTTACCCAGCTGAAAATCGTTTATCTTGAACTAATATTTACATCAAGGTCAAGCAGGGGATGACAATCAGTGAATCATTCAGATCAGTGGTACCAATAAGAGATGGCTCTTAACTAGATTTAGTGTAAGGTATAAAAGATCAGTTTAAGAATAGTCCAGGGTAATGTAACTCCATTTAAATAGTCAATTCGAGCTATCGACTAATTTTTTATCTAGACAAGAAAGACGAAATATATCATTATAGCTCAAAAGAGCATCCAACTGCAACACGCGGTAAAAATAACCATTTTTGAGCCGAAAGTGGTTATTCTTACCGCGTGTAATACTAAAATACTGAAAATTCACTAATTTCACATGGCTATATTTTCCGTATTTTACAACATTTCGCAACCAAACTTTGCAATTTTACTAATTTTAGGATGCTCTTTTGAGCTATAATGACAGATTTCGTCTATTGAAAATAAAGTTTTTGATTGATTTTTTGATTGATTGATTGATTGATTGATTTAAGACAGCAAGCATGAAGAGTGTGCAAACTTTCTACAAAAGCACAAAGGTTTATTAAACTAGCCCTAGGCGGATAAGACTTTCAGCCCCGAAGACCACACAACTAGAAGCAGAGTTAGAATGTAATTTCATTGCCGTGTTGAAGACATAACATTTTATGTTGAGAATCTTTGACGTCATTATGCATATGCTTAAAACCCGAGCAAAATACACGAAGCCACCAAAATTCTTTACACTTGGTATGATAAACTTCGCTTCACTCATTCAGTAACATTTCTAGCTGCCAAAGAAGTTTTTTGGTTGGTTTACTGTTGGTTTAATTTCCGAGGTTGTCTGTTGCAACATGAAACAAACATTCTGTTTGGTTTTGTTGCTGTACACGTTCGCTTTAACAGCGCAGACTTTAGCAAAACCGTCACAATTGAACAGAGACTCCGGGGTTCACTCTGATACTGGTAGTGGTGTTGACCTGACTGATGGTGAACAGAACACCAGAGAAACTGTGAGAGGAATTGACCATGATGGTCCCACACAGGACATCGAAGAAATTGTCGTAGCTATTCGTCTTAATGAAGCCAAGCATAGGACGGAAGAAACTGCCCGCGAAATTCACTCCAATGAAGCAATTCAAAACAACACAGAAACTGTAAACGGAATTCGTGCTACTGATGAAACAAGAATTCATTCCAACTACACTGTCCAGAACAGCACAGATGAAGCACTGCTAGAATTCAGCAAACGTTTACTCCGAGAGTTCCGTGCTAATCCCTACTATTCCTACCCATCAGGCTTGAGCTGTACTACTTGCACCATATTCATTGAGGTTATACGAGAGTTTTGGACTGGACCAGGAATAACCAGACTGCTTGCAAAACATTTCTCCATTTCTGCGTGTATCTCGTTACGCATTCAACATCCTGATGTGTGTATTGGTATTGTCCGAGAATACGAGAACGAGTTTTATTATATATTTGAAAATGCACGCCTCTCATCTCATGGGATATGTTCCGCACTATTGGATAAGCGGTGTGGGGATGAGAATGTATTGGACAAACCTTGGATTGTGACGTTGCCTGATACCCAGAAACCAACAGTTGAAGAACAGAGTCACATTAAGGTATGCTGCTTATAAAGGTTCTGATGGGACAATGGTTAGTATGTTTACCTCCGGGATTTGATTGCTACCAAATCAGATATCCAGTTATCTGATTATAATTTCACCTCAGTCACATGTGAGAAGAGTGCTTCCAGAGTTCCAGTTTGACTCTACCAAACACCGCATGCAGCTTATCTTACTGCCGAATACTTTATACTGGACCTCTAGGAAGAACAGTTTAGAACTTATAGAGCTATCCAATATAAATAAAGTTAGTTTAGTTTAGGTTTCCTCCTGTAGTAACACTGGGTCCTAGTGGGTCGATAAGAGATGATCCTTACTGGACCTCTAGGAAGAACATAACAGATGACCCTTTATACTGGACCTCTAGGAAGAACAGTTTAGAACTTATAGAGCTATCCAATATAAATAAAGTTAGTTTAGTTTGGGTTTCCTCCTGTAGTAACACTGGGTCGATAAGAGATGATCCTTACTGGACCTCTAGGGAGAACAGTTTAGAACTGATAGAGCTATCCAGTATAAATAAAGTTAGTTTAGGTTTCCTCCTGTAGTAACACTGGGTCGATTAGAGATGACGGTTTCCTCCTGTAGTAACACTGGGTCGATTAGAGATGACCCTTACTGGACCTCCAGGAAGAACAGTTCAGAACTGATAGAGCTATCCAATATAAATAAAGTTAGTTTAGTTTCCTTCTGCAATAATACTGAATGATTAAGTTAAAGACGACTCTTACTGGACCTCTATAAGTAACACTGGGTCGATTAGAGATGACCCTTACTGGACCTCCAGGAAGAACAGTTCAGAACTGATAGAGCTATCCAATATAAATAAAGTTAGTTTAGTTTCCTTCTGCATTAATACTGAATGATTAAGTTAAAGACGACTCTTACTGGACCTCTATAGAGGTATCAGTAAATATTGATTAAATATAATTTCATTCCAGCCTGGTTCGCCTGTGATTAAAGTTCTTCACCTCACAGACCTACACATTGACCTTCACTATAAAGAAAACACGAGCACACTCTGTGGCGAAGCTCTGTGTTGTCGCGAGAGTAATGGCCCGGGTGATGCAGGATATTGGGGCTCTTATGGATGTGATATTCCTTTAAGAACGCTAGAGAGCGCTTTGAAACACATTAAACAGCACCACAGCGACGTGAGTAAAGTGGTCCTATGATATACTGGAATTTGTCTTGCTGTAATACCTATGTCCTATGTTGTCAAAGCTTCAGTGATCACAGTGTTTTGCACAGGTTCGTTTTGAAGAATTTGTGAGATAACTTGGAGGGAAGTGACTCACTGTTTAACACTGAATCCCTCAAACTTTTCTTACAAATCCTTCAAAACATAGAATTCACCTGATGCAAAATTCCTACTGTGATCACAGAAACTTTGATAGTATAAACCAAGCTCAAGAATTCTTTTGTAATTTTCTATCTAGATATCTTATATTATTATGACTGGAGACATCCCTCCTCATGATATTTGGCTGGAGACCAAGTCAAGTCGGGTACGAAAATAAATATTTCTTCTTTGCCCAAATTCGTCCAGACCGATCATCTGTCTCTGGTATACACACGTAAAAACGTACAAGTTGTAACAAACCTGCAGCAGACTTGTAGCAATGCTGTTCCAACAACTTGTCAACAGGATGCGTTCGCACTGCTTGTTCCCAGCTTGTTGACAACTTGCTACAAGGTTGTTGAGCTCAACAGACTTGTTACAAGTTGTTCCAACAACTTGTTATCGTCCTGCAATTCAACAATTTGTGAACAAGTTGTGAGCGACAACCTTGAAGCAACTTGATAAAATAACAGCATTGTTACAACTTGTTGACAAGCTTGCTACAAGCCTGTTGCAAACACATCTTGTTAACAAGCAGTTCACACCGAGGGCATTTAAACAGATGAATATCAACCAATTATTTGCTCTCCGTCTACCTTTGTGTTGACGTCCCGTGGAGCTGCTTGAAAACGTGGCCAATACTATCTTTTCCAGATCGAAGTGATGCAAAGAGCATTTGCAACAATTAAAGAATATTTTCCTCAAAAGAAGGTTTTTGTTGCAGTTGGGAATCATGATACACACCCGACCAACAGGTGAGTAGAATACCAGGATAAGATACGACTGTGAATATATATGACGTAGTGTGGTGGAGTGTTCTCTTAACACAGGGTAATGTCTTTCATCTTTGTGGCAGGAATGTTGGCAGGACATAGTTTTTTTGTCCATGTGTCTTCTACTTGGAGGTTTCATTTCTCCAATATGGAGTATAATAATTGAGAAGACCTACCTTTACATTGACATCAGTAAATGGTTAGACTTTCGCGTCTTCTCGGATAAGGACGTTAAAATCGTAGGTACCTCGGATCCCCTATCAATTGGACAATAGCCTGTTGGGAAGTCCGCTCACCAACGAGCAGGACGTCGCGAAGCCATTGGGGGGGGGGTCGTTATGTTTTGACCAACAATTACAAGGATTTTGACCAAGTCGTACAAATTTTTCCCATTTTCCGGACTAACATAAGCGTAGTCTAAACATTTTTTCCGGACTAACGTAAGCGTGTTCAAAATTTTTCGACCAAAATAAGCAAGACTCTCAATTTTTTCACCGCAAACATAACAAAAGCATTAAAACTGTTACAAATGCGAACCATTTCATAACTTTGACCAACTTCGACTATCTTTTATGCCAAACTTTGACCAAATTGTTCCGAGTTTTACCTTCAATTTTAAGCAAATATCAGTTCAATTTTGACCAACTTTGGGCAAATATCAGTTCCATTTTGATATATAGCGATTTTGATATATAGCCCCCTATAGCGACGTCCCTGCCAACGAGTGAGAAACACAATTATGATTTTGTGTCAGTCACATATAAAAAAGAATGCTTTCAGTTTGACAAACACCTTACTTATGTTGGTGACACACTGGAAATCTCGCAAGTCAGAACCTCTACTTCCGCTTCCCTCCCAAACACGCTCCAGCAGAGAGTGAGAGGGAACTACAGAGCCTGGCTTGCGACACACTAGTTAGTTACAGCATGTGTCTTTGACCTGCGTGGTTTCATTCCTGTAATATCTTGTCGGATGAACATTTTTCTCCGTAGTTTCCCTCCAGCTTCAGTGAGCGCAGAGAACTCGATACAATGGTTGTTGGATAGTTACGCCGATATGTGGTCAGCGTGGTTGCCGAATACTTCATTACATACAGTACGAAAGTAAGTGTGAATAAACGCCGCTATATGCAATCAGCAAACACTAACGCAATCGTTTCAAATGTCCATTGATTGGAGGTTTGACTGTAGTGATTCTAAATTATTGTCTATTAATCGATTCTTTTCCATTTCAGAGGCGGTTACTTCACGACATTGCTGTCACCAGGGTTCAGAATTGTTTCAATAAATAACAACTATTGTAACAAATTAAACTGGTATATGTAAACTCTTGCCATACTCACAACACTGTGATCTTCATTTCCACTGAAGACTAATTAGCATCTTGTGCGTCTTTATTAAGGTGGCTGTTACTCAACAACACCGATCCCGCGGGAGAACTTCAATGGCTGATCCAAGTCTTACAAAGCGCTGAGGACAATGGAGAGAAGGTCAGCTGGGTTTAAATTAACTGACGTTGTGTTATGCATGTATTAGGCTAAAAGCTTCCAGCTACCCCCCAATAAAGTTAAGGCTGGCGTACGGGTAAAGACCTACCTAAAATGATCATGTTTTGTGATTGGCTTTCAGACTGTGATTGGCTTTCAGACTGTGATTGGCTTTCGTGACTCGTTCTTTAGAAAGACGATTTCTATAGTTTTATTGTCTTCCATTGTTATAATCAACCAACCATGAGCCTGGATAGTATAGGTAGATCATGACCCTGGCGTACACTATCAAATATTTCTGTGATCACAGTAGGAATTTTGCATCGGTAAATTCTAAGTTTTGAAAGATTTGTAAGAAATGTTTGAGGAAACTGTCTCAGTGTTTATAACTCTGAGTCAGCTTCCTCAAACATTTCTTACAAATCCTTCAAAACTTAAAATTTATCTAAGCAAAATTCCTACTGTTGATCACAGAAACTTTGATAGTGTAAACAAGACTGTAGTGTAATTTGAATTTCTCGTGATGAGTATATTTGGTGCATAATTTTCCCATGCAGGTTCACATCATAGCTCACATTCCCACTGGAAACAATCTGTGTTACAAACACTGGAGTGCGAACTATTATAAGATCATCAACCGTTACGAGAACACCGTGACAGCTCAGTTCTGTGGACACACACATCAAGATCATTTTGAAATATTTTATGACTTGAAAGATCACACAAGACCTCACAGGTTAGAAAACAAATGTTCTATTCCTGCATGTTAGCGCTTTAGAATATTTATAGTGTTTAGCTTTAGAATATAGCTTTAGAATATTAAGAGATGATCCTTGCTGGATCTCTTGGAAGAACAGTTTAGAACTGATAGAGGTGTCCAGTATAAATAAAGTTAGTTTTACTTTAGGTTTCCTCCTGTAGTAACACTGGATCAATAAGAGATGATCCTTACTGGACCTCTAGGAAGAACAGTTTAGAACTGATAGAGCTGTCCAGTATAAATAAAGTTAGCTTAGTTTAGGTTTCTTCCTGTAGTAACACTGGATCAATAAGAGATGATCCTTACTGGACCTCTAGGAAGAACAGTTTAGAACGATAGAGTTATCCAGTATAAATAAAGTTAGTTTAGTTTAGGTTTCCTCCTGTAGTAACACTGGATCAATAAGAGATGATCCTTACTGGACCTCTAGGAAGAACAGTTTAGAACTGATAGAGTTATCCAGTATAAATAAAGTTAGTTTAGTTTAGGTTTCCTCCTGTAGTAACACTGGATCAATAAGAGATGATCCTTACTGGACCCCTAGGAAGAACAGTTTAGAACTGATAGAGCTATCCAGTACAAATAAAGTTAGTTTAGTTTAGGTTCCCTCCTGTAGTAACACTGGATCAATAAGAGATGATCCTTACCGGACCTCTAGGGAGAACAGTTTAGAACTGATAGAGCTATCCAGTATAAAAAAAGTTAGTTTAGTTTAGGTTCCTCCTGTAGTAACACTGGATCAATAAGAGATGACTCTTACTGGACCTCTAGGGAGAACAGTTTAGAACTGATAGAGCTATCCAGTATAAAGCCTTAGTCTTTTTTTACTCTATAGCGTAATGTACGTTGGTCCAAGTTTGACAACAAACCCGGCGTATCAACCTAAAGTTAGTTTAGTTTAGGTTCCTCCTGTAGTAACACTGGATCAATAAGAGATGACTCTTACTGGACCTCTAGGGAGAACAGTTTAGAACTGATAGAGCTATCCGGTATAAAGTTAGTCTTTTTTTACTCTATAGCGTAATGTACGTTGGTCCAAGTTTGACAACAAACCCGGCGTATCAACCTGCTTACAGAATTTACGAAGTTGAAGGAGATTACGAACAGAGCTCAAGGGTGAACTATATTTAATTTATATCTTCCAACACTGTTTCCAATTTGTTCATAGTTTCATTTATTAATATTTGCTATTTTAATTGTAGCGTGTTTTGAACCACAAAACGTACAAATTAAATTTGGAAAAATCAAATAAGGACCACAAAGCTTATTGGGAACTTGAATATAGCGCCAAGGTTTGTATATTTTAGTCACCAGTTTTAGTCTATTCAGTAACATTTAGTATATTGAAATTTATTTTTAATTTTTCCTTTTTGTCATAGGAGGCATACAATATGAAAGGTTTACAACCAGCTGACTGGGATAATCTCGTCACCAGAATGAAGAACAGCGATGACCTGTTTCAAAAATTTTATAAGTAAGACTCGTCGTTTATATCTCAGGACAAGCAGGCGCAGATGTAAACATTGTGATGTCGTGGTCACCACACTTGTCTTTCAAGCTAGGAGACCCGGGTTCAATCCTTGATCGGACCTCTACTCAAGCTCTTAAAATAATTGAGGAGAAAGAGCTACCTTTACATTCACATCAGTAAATGGTTAGACTTTCGCGTCTTCTCGGATAAGGATGTTAAATCGTAGGTACCTCGGATCCCCTATCAATTGCGCAATAGCCTGTTGGAAAATCCGCTCACCAATTACTGAGAAACTCAATAAACTCAATTGTAGATATGAGTAATCATGCTTTGAATAGGGATGACGGTGCCTATTTGCCAGAGGAATATATGCATCTCATTGGCAGATGACGTCATCCCTTGGGTATTTAAGAAGCCACATTGCATCTTTAGATCACCCCTGATGAAGACACTAGACTGGAGTGTCGAAACGTTGGGTCTTGATTACAATTCGACTGGGCTTTGTATTCATTTATTTAAACCAGAGTAGCGAGCGAAACATGATTGATATACCTGGTTGCAGTGAATGAACAAAGTTTAAATGTGTGCCACTATAGATACAAACGGCCGCAGGATTCTCATATTTTATTATTTGCACTATTTTTCGCTGCAGGTTCAAATATCGTTATCCCAACCTCGGATCATGTGACAATGATTGCAAGAGTCGCGAGATTTGTGCTTTGAAATCAGCCCGGTCACATGACAGCACATTCTGTGAGGAAACTGCTGACCAAGTAATATTCTGATTGCGGGACACAATGAAGGACATGGATATGATATTTGGAAAGTATTAGTTTAATTGCTTGTGTTTTACTTTCATTTTAATTTATCTGGGTTTATGATTAAGACACCAGGGGTAGTTGTTCAAAAGCTGATAAGCTTAACCCTAGGTTAACTTAAAATTAAAAGCAAGCTTCCTGACAGCTTGTTCAGAAATTTGGAAATATTTCTTCAGAAATCTTGTCTGGATCAATGGGAGTTTTCTTCTCTGATGTGTTGAAATAAACAAACGTGCAGAAATACTAAAACAGCAGGTTAAATTTTAATACAGGGTTAGCGCCAGTCCAGCTTTGAACAAATGAACCCAGTATGATTTATATTAGTGAAAAATTGACTTGCAATTTAGAGCAGTTGGAAGAACAATTCTTTAAATACCTATAAATAAAACTTCAATGCAATTCTAAAAACCGTAGAAACCATGCTATTCCTTTTCTTCTAAAAGCGTACGAGTTTTATAAATATCACGATCCCATTTAAATACAATTAGTCCTTTTAAATATCCATGATGATATAAATATTCGTGACTGGAGCATCTATAATGCGAGTATCTTTATATTACAAATTAAGTATACAACTTTTTGTACACGTCATCTAGAATTCCACCATTGATGAAGATTGTATTGATCTAAGGCATCGTAGAATAGTTGCCACCATAATATGTTCATGTCATCTCGGCTAGATAATGAACATTTTCATCAATAAAGTTATAAGTAGGTTTCACTAAGCACTATCGCGCAGCTGATGGTGTGAAAACAAGGTTCATTCTTTTCATTATATGTAATAGTTTTGTATTTGGAGGCAAATAAATAGAACTAAGGGGTGTTTAATTTACTTGTTCCAATTCGTGACAATAGGAGACGCTTTTAGACAAAATCTACGACGCGGACGTGACGAAAAACTGCCGCTATTATCACAGTTTCACTTCATGGGTGAAAACGATGGATTGTTGTTGGTAAACAAAGCCAGGGACACGAGAAAAACAAAGTAAAACTAGTCTCCCATTGTTAGCGACTGTTTTTTAGTCCCGTCACAGATTTGTGCATCTTAAGCTCGCTAATATTTCTGAAGTTGACAAATTCCCATTGCTTGACTCTCAAAGACTCTCATAATACACGATTCCCGTTGAATCTAAGCCAACACACTCACTGTAAGGCAGGACCAGGAAAGTCATACGCCTCTTTCTTCGTTGGAGGCTTTTTCATATCCCAAGGTTTTGGTGTTACTCCGTAGCCAGCAAAATGGTAAGCTATAAAAATGTTGAAGGATTTAGTAGATGGAAATTTGTGTCAATTTTATATATTCACTTTCATTTACGGACCTGTAGCAGATGCGAAGTAGTTCTACTAAATTCAACGTTTTGAAGAATTTGTAAGAAATTTTTGAAGGAAGTCTCGGTGTTTAACGCCGAGTCATGTCTTACAAATCCTTCAAAACTTACAATTTACGTATGCAAAATTGAAAATTCCTACTGTGATCACAGAAACTTTGATATAGTACACCAGCTTAATCATTCGTACATTTGTTGTTTTCTTTATTGTATATTCTGTTATAGCTACCTTTCATTGGATAAAACAACTTTCTACGAACATTATATGAATATGGAAGAGGATTCCAACGTTCTGTTAAAAACACAACACAAAGAATGAAACAGATGATGAACTTCTGATAGGCAAAGTAAGTTGAACTAAATATGATAATATTCTACCAGTAAATGCAAAGTAGTACCACATTACTACTTGATCACTCACGCATCCCATAATCCCTGTTAATTCCTAGAAATATTTAATCAATTAGTCAATCAGATTATTCATCTAGCCAAACCTGAACTATATGTCAAGTGAAAATAATCAGGAAATTGATTACCTTCCATTTGGCCATGAGGTCAGCGCGGGTTTTCATCGATGGTCTGTAAAACATAAATCAGCTTTATTTCGCTTCTCTAGGTGGCAAGTATGGTTAAATCGTTCTGTCATTCAGCAGCATAAAGTGATTGTTGAAAATACCTAAATACAGCTAGTCCTGCGTTGAAACACGGATCCAAAACACCCTAAAAATTGAGATGGGTAGACTTGGATAAGTCCGTTTCTCAAGAGTCCCGAGGGTTCGCGATTCGGACTCTAGAGAGATGGACTTGATCCAAGTCTATGAGATGGGTTGAGAGTCGTTTTGTCAAACTCAGGAGGTTGGTAGTGTCTAGAAGTTCTAAACTATTACCGGTCTTGCACAATAAACTGCTGATAACTCCCCCGGTAAATCAAATATCTGAAATATAGAACAAATTAAGAGGAGTTAAAAAATTCTATACAAACTAGCATGGTTAACCGTGATGAAATTAAATTTTAAATTGCGATGGTTTGTGTCAAACACAAACCACGGCATGTTTTTGTACCTCATCAATATTCGTTAGGGGCATGTAATCTATGTCCACATACGCGATCTAGGAAAAACACCAAATGGAAGATAAAGAGCGTGGTACACACGTCAAAATCTCACAACTTGTCAACAAGATGTGTTCGCAACAGGCTTGTAGCAAGCTTGTCAACAAGTTGTAACAATGCTGTTATTTTATCAAGTTGCTACAAGGTTGTCACTCACAACTTGTTGACAAATTGTTGAATTGCAGGACGATAACAAGTTGTTGGAACAACTTGTAACAAGTCTGTTGAGCTCAACAACCTTGTAGCAAGTTGTCAACAAGCTGGGAACAAGCAGTGCGAACACATCCTTTTGACAAGTTGTTGGAACAGCATTTTTTTATGTGTGTGGATAAATTAAGTAACTTACTTTCTCAAATTGTACTAAGGTCCATGCTTGAAATCTTGTATGAGTCCCTGGAATACCTTTGACACAATAAATAATTATGGAATGATATATCTTTACTACATACAGTCCTTGCTCCGATATCTCCATGGACTCACCTGTGTTGGTTGGCGGTATATTCATTGATTTTTCCATCCAGTTACAATCAAGAGACTCCACTTCAAATATCTCGTAACCAACCTCATAAAATTATGTTTTAATGATGAACTATTTTATCTTGAACGGCGTATGCCAGTGTACTTTGTAGCAATAATAAAAAAGTTTCAGATTGATAGGGATACAACTACATGAAAAATACAAGGAAATTTCGACGTTTTGAGCGAAGGCCCACTAACTTCACGATGAATGCCTTCACTCAGAAGTCGAAGTACTCCTTGTATTTGTCATGTAGTTGTATCCCTAGCAATCCCTAGCAATCCATGTCATTCTCTACCTGTTGTAAAATACTCTTTGTTGAATTCTTTAAATTTGACGTCACCATTGCTCCTATTTTTCTAAAGTGAAAAATAATGTGCCACATTTTATAATACGCGCAAGGTTTTAGGCGTTGTTGAACTCGTTCTCAGGGCCCGCAGACAACGTTGGGCGTTGTCGTAACTACAAAAGTAGGTACGCAATGCGTACATGCGATCAGGAATTTAATACTAGCACCATTTACGCAGAGAAAATCTGATTTTTATTCTGTCGTACGTGTAACAAGATATTCGTCTTATCGAGTGTGCCACAGCGACTGCTCCTGGTAGGACATTATCTGTAGACTAGAAAATAAAAAAAAAACAATCAGCACTTATGGTGCCGTGCTCACTACGCTTGCTTTTTAAGCTGGGAGACCCGGGTTTGATCCGTTGATCGGACCTCTACTCAAGGTTTTAAAATAATTGAGAAGCTACCTTTACCTACCCCCCACTTACTGATGTGGTTAGACTTTCGCGTCTTCTCAGATAAGAACGTTAACCCATTAGTAGCAATGCACTCTGATGCGCCCTACTTTAGTATTTTACTTTGTCTAACGCCAGACGATTTTACTCATCAGGTGGAGAGTGCTGCCACTCAATGGGTTAAAATCGTAGGTACCATCGGTTCCTCTGTCAATTGGGCAATATAGCCTAGCTGCTGGGAAATCCACTCACCAATAAGCGAAAAACTCGATAAACAATATGTGAATTACTTACCAAGGAGACAAGCCACAAATACTCTTTCTTGGGGAGATTTTTCTCCTGTTATAAAGAATTGCAATGAAACTTAACTTTAAAGTGGATATTTGAAAATGTTTTTCATAATAGCTATTGGCTGCAAGTATTTCATGGTAAATATAAGAGGAACGTACATCTCACCTTACAAATCTGTTGCATAAATCTTTTCTGTAGTTGATGATAGCCCCAAACAAGCTGGTGGTTATGATGAAATGTAGAAATATTATAAAATTACAAAATGGTTCCTAGTATTATGGTTCTATGGTTCTAGTATATGGTTAATTATATGGTACTCTGTATTGTAGTGGAAAACTACAGTAGCAAATAGAGAGCCTTGTGGGCCCCAGAAAAACATTGAAGATGGTGAGTGTTCGGGGTGGGATGAGTGCTTCTCAAACACACTGGATAGGAACATGGTGATTACATTGTTGTGTTAGACCCCTGTTAAGAACATGCTTGACGACAGTATAATATAAATGCTAAAGCATACAGTATCACAAAAAGGTATTCAATAAAACCTCCCGCCAAGGAGCTTGGCCGAAATGTCGCGAAGCCCTTTGTATTTTTCAGGTAGTTGTATCCCTGACAATCCAAAGCTTTGAACAGTATCACAGTTTACACCCTATATTTCCAATTGATATTTTTGCTAACAGCTACCTCTGCCTCTTGTTTCGTCACGTCTTGATGTCGTTGTATGTCTGTGTTGACCATATTGATAATAATTCGAAAATACGAGATGGTGTATGAGAAGTAATTAGGTTCTAGGATCTTGAATAAGATCAATAGCACCAGCAATATGGCCAGAAATTTCATGAACCGATGTCGTCTGATGTACACGATTAACCACCTTAGGCTCCTGTAATAAACAAGAGGTGGGTCAAGATATTTATGAATGTTACCTGAAATAGAGGTTGCAGCGGGGAAGAGGGCAACTTCGGGGTCACAGACATCATATAGAAAAAAGGAAAAATTCTAGATGGAGCCCTTTGGACAAACCGGTATTATCCCAGTGGTTTATGTCCCTTCCTATTAGGTGGGGGGTCTTCTACCATGGGTGTGGCCAGTAGGTGGGCACAGCTGATTGTTTACCTTTGCGCCTAATCATTTTGCCAGATTTGTACTTATTTATAAACACAAAATCACGAACAATTATTGAGTCAGAAACTACTTTAAATAAATTTGTTTTATACTGTAGATACAATGAAAATATATAGTGGACTGTCTACAAACAAACAAAACCATGTATCATGGTTATAAAATATCTGGTAATATTAACTACATTTCATTTGTGAGATGGTACGCATATTAAACGGCGTTAAGTGTTAATATTAAAAGAGCTTTTGTTTATAAACCCTTGCCTTTATACATTCCTATTAAATAGGTAAAAGCTGTTAAAAGGCTCTCACGGGGGCTTCGTTTAATACTATGCTCTAAGCATTGTTTAATCGCGACATGAGAACAAAACTTTTGCATAATTGGAATATGATCGCGAGCAAAATGTAAACAAAGTTGGTAAGTATTAAACGTTAACACCCTTGTGTAAATATGGTATCAATTTGGTGAATATTTCTGCACCCAATTAATTAAGTTTCTGCGCCTATATATAATCGCCAATATAAAACTTCTATTAACTACAAACCTTAACTGCGTTTGAAAAAACGCCATAGCACTCGAATCCATGGCATGGAATTTAGTTTATAGAGAAATCAGACTCATTATCTTTCAAATTTGAAGAGTTAATATGTTACTTTTTCATAATATCTTACTTTGTTATATAATATTTCTCATTCGTGAAATGCTGTATCCCCCCCCCCCCGGTGTAGTACGGGTTATGTATTAGATTACGGGGGACTTGCGGAAATTTTATCCAGTGGACATGAAAGAAATTTTGACGGTCAAGGTGGAAACATATTTCTTTGACAGATGAAAATTTTGAGAAAAGTTGAGTAGTATTGTTTACTTTTTCAATTTTTTCAAGAAATACTGATGTAGTGTAACGTGTTGTTTGAATGGTTTTCGGCTCAACGCTACGATGCCTTCAAGAACGTTTTCGTATATTGCTTTACATGCAAGGTAAGTGACTAGAAGTCAAAAGCTTTCCATGCCCCATAATTTCCATTTTATATATAAGCGCCCCCTCCCATTGAGGAGTACCTTCACAATCCCATTAAGATAAAAAGAACTCTGGCCCCTGGGTAGTTAACCTATAGGATATGTCACTAACCCCTTTAGAACATTGTTCTCCCCTGAAAATTTATCAATAAAACACCAAACGCATTTGTTGTAAATGTTGTGCATGATTCATATTCTAGAGCATATATGCAACTCAATATAAAGCATGCTTGAAGTAGTTGCATTTTCAAATTTCGCCATTGATATAAAACTATTGAAGTGAAGAGAAATTGTGGCATCGGGATTCGTTTTCATACACCAGATCGGGTTTTTACTAGAAACCACATACTACTTGACGAATCCAACTTTTAAAATGCTGTCTACTCCGAATTGTATTAGGAACCCTACCAGATTAAGAATCATAACCAACAAATCATGATGTGTAAACACAACCTGAACTACCCCCTACGAATATTTAAGGTGAAAACTTTTCCTCCCCATTGGATATAGAGACCCTCGCTAGTGTGTGTGCACATTAAATGAATGGCACAATTGCGATTTTTCTGTGAAAGACTGAAAGTATAATTAGATGTTTTTGAGGTCTTGCTTAGGAGCCACGTCCATATTCATGTTGCTACAAATAACGTTGAATCCACGTTATTGCATCTCCCGCCCACTCCAAATAATGTCAATCGATATTCAATCGTATTTTGACTTTTGTATTTATAATACGAAAGATGTACTGTCAGTGATAGTTTATACTTTGGACATTAATTGCCACAAGATAACGTTGATAAGTTCACATAAAAACCCATCCACTCATAACGTTGATTCGACGTTATTTGTGGCAACATGAATATGGACGTGGTCCCTTAGACATAAAATATGAACTGTTTTCTAAATGAAAAGAACATTTTCTCATGCTGATAACAGCAGGTTGACCCGCATCTGCTGCACAATAGTGCTTAGTGAATCCCACCTGTAATATCACTTTCTTTATTGACATTTCAGGAGTTTCCCATCCATATTAACATATGTCCGACGTCACAAACTGATTAAGTTTATTGCTGGATTCCTATTGGTTCTGCTGTTATTTCGTCTTGCGCAACCTAATTATTTTTCTTATGGAATATCTTATGCAAAGATCATTTTCGAGCTCGTTAACACTGACATGCAACGACAGAATGATGTCATTAAACAAGATGCTCAGGTATTTGAGTCTTGTGATTGATTGAATAATTGGTTAATTGATTGATTAACTGTTTAATTAAATAGCTAATTGATTGATTAATTAATTGATTGATTGGCTAATGAATTGATTGATTGGCCAAATGATTGATTGGTTAATTGACTAATTAACTGATTAGTAAAGTGACTAGTTAATTAATTAAGGACTTGATTGGGTAATTAAGCTAATGATTGATTAATTGATTGATGTGTTAATTGACTGATTTATTGATCAGGTGACTAATTGATTGATATTTAATTTGTTCATTTCTTCAATGATAGATTGACTGAATGAATTGTCTGTTAATTTTTTGCAGTTAGTTTGGGATTTGCATCATTTTCAAAAACAATTTATGAAGGAATGGTGTAAGGAAAAAATGAAGAAGAACAGAAAGCTTGCTTGGTTTGTCTCAATGGTAAGACGTTTTGAAAGGTTTAAATATTAGTGAAATGCTACCTGTCATAGGAACTTCAAATTGTTTAGATGTATAATACTTGTGTAAATACTCATTAATTTAACCCTTTAAGTGGCAATGCACCCTGATGCATCCTATTTTACTCTGTCTAACGTCAGAAGATTTTACTTGTGAAGTGGAGAGTGCTGCCACTCCATGGGTTAAACTGTAGTGATTTCTCCACCGTCATTAAAATTTCATTTGTAAATTTCTGAGAATTAAAATTATACTGTTGTGTTCAATTCCACAGTCTGGCAACAGTGTTGTTCCTGGAGCTGTTGCAGTTGGGCATATTATCAAGAAGTTCTCTTGTTATCCGTAAGCAGCTACTTTTCCATTGCTTGTTTTTAGTGTGCTGAAATACTAGAACAACTACAAGTATTTGTATCTAAACTGTTCCACTATAGGAACAATGCATGTGGAGATTGGGAACAAGTCAATGTAAATAGTTTTGAAATTTGTTTCTATTCTGATCCAGGAATCTTCTTGCACTTGTGACAAACACTGTGAGCAAAGAATCCAGATCTGCATTGGAGGCTGTAAGTATATGGTGGAAAATGTTTGGAAAATACCATAGAAATATTAAATATTTTTAATACCAATATTTCTATGGAAAATATCCTCCCTCATATATGACCATAGTAAAACACATACCTCCCATTTTGTGAAGTCCCCCCCCCCCACCCCACTCTCCTCTAGTACTATTATTAAACCTGTCAATATTCAGCATTAGTGTTGTTCATTGCATGTACCGGGTACGTAAAACTTAAAAAATTGTGTAATTCAATGTAGTTTGTTTTGTTTTATTCCAGACTGGATTTAGTGTGCATATTGTTGAAAGTCTTGATTGTAACTGGATGGATAAAAAGTTAGGGCATGAAATATCCAATAAAGGTAAGATATCAACTTAATGTACATTATGTACTTTATACTTTACTAACATTAGAAATGGAACATTAGAACATTTGGTCATTTCGATCTTCAGGAATCCCTGGTACTCACACAAGGTTTCATATTTGGAGATATACACAATTTGAGTCAGTAGGTGTACTCCACATTTTGATATTATCCATTATTGTATTATGATTGTTATATTATTGATTATGATTGTTATATTATTGATTATGCTTGTTATATTATTGATTGTTATTGTTATATTGATTATGCTTTACGATTGTTATATTATTGATTATGATTGTTATATTATTGATTATAATTGTTATATTATTGATTATGTCTTATGATATAGTGATATTATTGATTATGCTTGTTATATTATTGATTGTTATTGTTATATTATTGATTATGATTGTTATATTGATTATGCTTTATGACTATGACTATTGATTATGACTGTTATATTATTGATTATGTCTTATGATTGTTATATTATTGATTATGATTGTTATATTGATTATGCTTTATGACTATGACTATTGATTATGACTGTTATATTATTGATTATGTCTTATGATTGTTATATTATTGATTATGATTGTTATATTATTGATTATGACTGTTATATTATTGATTATGTCTTATGATTGTTATATTATTGATTATGATTGTTATATTTTTTATTATGATTGTCATATTATTGATTATGACTATTATATTATTGATTATGTCTTATGATTGTTATATTATTGATTATGTCTTATGATTGTTATATTATTGATTATGATTGTTATATTATTGATTATGACTGTTATATTATTGATTATGATTGTTATATTATTGATTATGCCTTCTGATTGTTATATTATTGATTATAATTGTTATATTATTGATTATGTCTTATGATTGTTATATTATTGATTATGTCTTATGATTGTTATATTATTGATTATGATTGTTATATTATTGATTATGACTGTTATATTATTGATTATGATTGTTATATTATTGATTATGCCTTCTGATTGTTATATTATTGATTATAATTGTTATATTATTGATTATCATTGTTATATCAATGATTATGATTGTTATATTTCTAGATACTATATGTTGATACAGATTTCTTTCCTCTGGTAAATATGGATGAGGTGAGAGAATATGTTTTATGGTTCTATTCACTCGTTTCTTTACATAATTATTTTGTCTACTGCAAGCTAAAACATTCTTTCCTCCTTCTGTTTTAGCTTTTTGATTCACCTGGAGAGTTTTCTGCTGTTTACTGCGGTCGTCCTGTGAGTCTCAATCTTATTTATGAACACATGCTATAGTTACAAAACGTGAGATCTGAGCTAGATGTTTCATGACAATTAGGTCTAGGCTGAAACATTACAGTTCTAATGCTGTTAGACAATTTTGGAATAGACTTGATTATCTTGTAGGGTGTGTTGGATCCGTGTTTCAATGCTGGTCTTGCTGTGTTCAAGTTCGTTCTTTGTTACTCTATATTTATTTTTTAACGATTTCAATCTTTCTTTCTTGCACCATCAATGATTTTTACCACGTTTCTTCACGTCGCCATGTTATCTTTTCTAGGCCAGGTTTGGACACTTATCAAGGTTTAATGGAGAAATGGGAAGTGAGTGAATACAACAAATACATTATATCTACAACTAGTTCAGTAGGTGTACGTTATCGATATCTACAACAAGGTCTACGTTATCCAACTTAGTATTAGTTTATTGAGTTTATTGAGTTTCTCACTCATTGGATGGGGGATACGAGGTATCTACGATTTAACGTCTTTATCCGAGAAGATGCGGAAGTCTAACCATTTCAGGGTTCGTAGCGGTCTTTGAAATCCTTGAAAGTCTTTAAATTGGAATGCAGGTCTTTGAGGTCTTTGAAAAGTCTTTAAATTGTGTGAAAAAGCGAAGAAAGTCTTTAAAAAGTCTTTAAATTCTTTAGTGAGGAATTGATTATACGATTTCCTAGCTAATAAAATAGATTGATTGAATCACGATTTTCGCAAAAATCGACGAAAAGGCGCATTTTAGGATGTGATTTGACGGGACTAATTACTGGGTAAAAATGGTGCTTACACTCGCAATTTTTCGACAGCTGATTGCTCTCAAAGGTCTTTGATAAGTCTTTGAAAATAGGCAGAAAAAATCTTTGAAAGTCTTTGAATTTTTTTGGTCTTGGAGACTACGAACCCTGCATTTACTAATATCAATATAAGGGTACTGGGTAGCACTTTCTCTTCAATTATTTTAAGAGCTTGAGTAGAGGTCCGACCAAGGATCGAACCAAGGTCTCCTAGCTTGAAAGACAAACGTGGTGAGCACGACACCACAAATATTGAACACTTGAATACGTCTTCTAGGAGATGGCTAGTATCATTGGTTGTCCTAATGATCAGATAGTACTTTGGCATTACTTTGCGTTTAGTGGTAAGTCGCTTATATATTCCGTGTTGATATACGGTTATATCAACACGAGTGGAAATTGGGAAAACGAGAAAGAAACAAAGAAACATAAAGAAAGAACTTTTCCGACGTTTCCGTGGAACAAGTTGTTATCATCTTGTTACAAGGTTGATGAAGGTAACAGACTTGCTGTAAGTTGTTCCAACAAGACTAATACAGGCTGTTCGTAACAAGTTGCTACGAGCTTGTTGTCATCAACTTGTGAACAACTTGTTACGTGCAGACGATATCAGACTTGTTGGAACAACTTGTTGCGAGTCTGTTGGCCTCGTCAACCTTGTTACAAGACGACAACAACAGACTTGTCAACAACTGGGAACAAGCAGTGCGAACACATCTTGTTGACAAGCTCTGAGATTTTTACGCGCGTGCACTTCATTTGTCTATAAACACGGCAAACAGAGGGATTATCCTTGAACAAGACCTATCTACGAAGTTCATATCGTCTTGATGGATAATCCAGTTTAATTATTTTCAGGAAAATGGAATCGTCTACCTTATTCCTATAATGTGAGGAGAAAAATTTACTATCCAATGAAAGGTGATTATTTTATCGCAATAATTCACGCCAAAACTCTTTTGTTTTCTAAACTTGACAATTTTCCATTCTCGTGAAATATTGTTTCTTTTCAGCGTATCATTTCGCTGGTTATGGTATAACGCCCAAACCCTGGCAACTTAAAATTCCCCCCTCCAGAAAGGAAGTGAACAGTTTTCCAGGGCCAATTATTGAGTAAGTAAAGTATTTTTAAAATTCGAACAATATTTTTGTTGTTTTCTGCAGTGTCAGAGTAAGTACGAAATTAGTTTTTCATTGCTGAGAATATTTTCCAGACGAGATGAAATGAATATTCTATGGTGGAAACTTTTCTACCAAGCTTTGGATGATTACAAACTACATGATTGGTGGAAAACAACAGAATTTTACACGTCGGCGACAGAAGGTTAAACCATGCATTGCGCAATCAATTCTTGTTGGAGTATACGATATTGTTCCCGGCCGAGTACTGGGGAGGAGTTTCTTAAATCGCGCCAGCAATCCGTCATGTTCCAGGTCAGCGGTTATTGATAATTTGAATAATGAAGATTGACAAAGGTTTGGTAGTTTGATTTGAGAGGATTTTAGAAAGTTATATATATATATATATATGACATAGATAATGAAAAATATTTTTATTTGTTTTTGTAGGATTTGTAAGAACGTGTGAGGGAACTACTATATAACTTAGTGTTTAAACACTGAGTCAGCTTCCTCAAACATTTCTTACAAATCTTTCAAAACTTAGAATTTACCTTTGCAAAATTCTTACTGTGATCACAGAAACTTTGATAGTGTAAACAAGGCTTTACTATACAGATTGTTGAAAATTTGCAAGGAAATAAACACAGGGAAATCATTTTGAATTTTATTGCTATAAAACTTTTATAAACTGTGCGCTAATTGGCTGTTACATGAACTGACATGATACTAATTAGTCTAATTTCCCCATTAATTAACTACACACAGCAATACAGCAAAAGTGTTAATGAAGGTGTTCCATTGTCACACTGCAGTTTTCTTGGATCACAAAGATAAATATGTTGGGTTGAGATGACTTTGTTTTTCAGACATGTTGGAATGTCGTCATCGTGATTGACATGAACTGACATGATACTAATTAGTCTAATTTCCCCATTAATTAACTACACACAGCAATACAGCAAAAGTGTTAATGAAGGTGTTTATTGTCACACTGCAGTTTTCTTGGATCACAAAGATAAATATGTTGGGTTGAGATGACTTTGTTTTTCAGACATGTTGGAATGTCGTCATCGTGATTGAAGAAAAACTAAAAAATAACAATAATATGTTCATACAATTTGTGCTAGACACATCATCCATTTAAACTCAAGACCAACTACTCAGTTGAACTACACGTGTAAAAACGCTGAGCCCGCTGTTTAACAGGATTGAACCGGCAATGTTTTGCTGCCCACGTTGCCAACAATATTGAACAATATTGTTGAGCCTGAATCGGGTGTAACAATATTGTTCAATATTGTTGACAACTGTGAACAATGTGGGCAGCAAAACATTGTTCAATCCTGTTTTCATCAATATTGCAACAACCTGATTGTTTTTAGCCGTGTAGCTAGAATAACGTGATATGTACTGGCAGCGGTTCCAGAAATAAATCATGCCTGTTATTTTCTTTGGTAGTTTGTCTATTAAATTCCGTACACACACAAAAATCTCAGTCTTGTAGCAAGTCCGTCAACAAGCCGTCAACAAGTTGTGTTCGCACTGCTTGTCCCAAGTTGTCAACAAGTTTGGAACGATTTGTTAACAACTTGTATAAGTAACCTTGTTGATATTATCAGATTTGTTACAAAGTTGTTCCGACAAGTCCGATACAGTCAATATAACAATATTGATATAACAATATTGTTACAACCTTGTAATCCATTCTTGTTATATCATGACTGTATCAGACTTGTTAGAACAACCTTGTAACAAGTCTGATAATGCCATCAAGCTTGTTACAACAACTGGGAACAAGCAGTGCGAACACAACATGTCGACAATAACAATATAACAATATTGATATAACAATATTGTTACAACCTTGTAACATTCTTGTTATATCATGACTGTATCAGACTTGTTAGAACAACCTTGTAACAAGTCTGATAATGCCATCAAGCTTGTTACAACAACTGGGAACAAGCAGTGCGAACACAACATGTCGACTGCTAATTGAACACAACAGATTTGTAAGAACTTGTGCGTTTTTACGTATGTAGTTAACACATGGGTGGATTATACATCAAGAACTACGGACGCAACAGATATTTCGTTTCTACTTTAAAAAATCATTCAAATTATAATCGATAAAAATTAACATGGGCAGCCAACTCGAGCCGAAGGCGAGATGCGAATGTTTTATCGTGCTTAAAAACGACCCATCTTATGAGTTCATTTGCGAAGTAATTTTAAAAATAAACATTGTCTAAGTCGAGAAAATCAAAGCTGAAGTTTATGTAAATCCGATTTACAAACATTGATTAAACATTCATTTCTTTTGAATTTTCTTCATGAATTATGAATGAGTTTTTTAGTTACCTTTAAAAAATATTGCGGGGGACGTTCCCACGATGCACTGGGAACTGGCACAGGAACCGACCATCCAAACGATGCCAACTTGTGGCTTGTGACGTCATACAATAGAAACATTGGGAAGATATCTTTACATTCTAAATTCGCAGAAATATTGTACCAGTAGTGCATTCCTAGAAAAGAAAGTTCATCTGATAATTCATTGAACCAGCACAGGCTAGGAGAGCCAGATTCAATCCTTGGTCAGAACTCTACTCAAGCTCTTAAAATAATTGAGAAAGAGCTACCTTTACATTGACATCAGTAAATGGTTAAGACTTTCGCGTCTTCTCGGATAAGGACGTTAAATCGTAGGTATCTCGGATCCCCTATCAAGTGGACAGCAGCCTGTTGGGAAATCCGCTGACCAATGACTGAGAAACTCAATAAACGCCGCAAACAGATCGTATGCCAAAAAATGAGCTGTATGCGATGCCCAGTAAAAAGTCGCTACGCGCGAACAAATTCGAGTATTTGCAGAATACCTGGTATACTACTACCTACACTGAACCTACACTGAACCTACACTTTGGAAACATGGTAGACGCCTTACCCATATTTGGAAAGCATTTTCCTTTCACCCAAAGCGAATGTTCCAGTTCATTTTCATTTCTCGGTATCCTGATAGCTTTCTGTCCTCCCGCAGTCAACCAGCTTTTGGTTTGAATATACAGCTCATGACCAAAGGTGGATTTTGCATTGCCAGAACTCCCCCCGGATTTTGTGCAAATTGTGTGCGGATTACGGAAGTATGCTGTGACTATTGCTTCGTTTTCGTTCACTCTGATCCAAGGTGATGGACTGGAGCGATCTGGGTATGTTGACGTAGAAGATAACTAAGCAATCAGATTTAATAATTTCAATCATGGATAGCTTTCACTGAGCATTATTGCGCAGCAGACAGTGGTCAACACTCAGTTATCAGAGTGAGAAAATAATGTTAGTTATTTTCATTATATGTAGTCCTGGGCTGGAAATTGCAACCTGCCAATGGCCAAAGGCAGAATGAAATTAACCTGCCAAGTCAAAAATAAAATGGCAATGAAATTCGACAAAGCCAAAATCACAATTGATTTGCAATTTGCCATTTTCGGTTAAGTAAAACAGTTTTAGTACATAGGGCAAACACATGAATTATTGATATGCATGAAGAAAATTAACATTTAATTTTTATGTTCGTGCCAGAGTGAGACCATTTTGGCTGTTCAAAAATAAAAAATGGCAGACCATAATTTTTATTCGGCCTGCCAAGAAATAGTTTGGCATACCAGATAGGATCGAGCCGTGAAGTAGTAGTGTTCCCAACTGCTTAAAGAAAAACCAAGTACTCTTGTACTTGCTGGGAAGTATAATGCTATCTGCTGTCCTATTGCTTGCAATGTATTATCTTGACTTACTGTTGCTTGAATTCCTGCTATAATTCCATCATTTCCAAATATCAGGCGCGTCGATTTGTCATTGTCTTTGATATAGCGGTTGCCAACATAAGCATTATTCTCTGAAATAGAACAGCAAGCAGAAAATAATTTTATTTGTGAGATTTACAGAATAGCAGACGATGAATTAAATTTCTTATATTTCTCTCCAATGCCCTGATCAAAGAGGGGGTTAGCTGTTGGTTAGACCTTGGTTAAGCTGTTCTTAATGCTTCCCGGCCTTTCCCAACACTTTGATGGATTCTGTTTGAGTTAAAACATAGTTGGAACACGTCGTCAAATCTTTTGTTAATCTTTTGAAAATGCCAACTCTCATCACGCAAAAAACCTCACCATCGCAGTTACCATCCTTGATCCATCCAGAGTTCTCTGCTGTGAGGGCGTGTTCACTCAAAGGCATATTCATGAGTCGTGGAAATCCCACTAGAAAAAATACATTATGAAAGAAGATCAATTCTGCCCTGCTCTAGGAGTAAGAATCGTTTTTATTCACTGACGCCGGTATTTACTTACCCAGTAATCTGTCCCATTTCTGGCCGACATCTAATAAAAGAATTGGAAACAATCAAACGTTGAATTTTGTTCTGTGTTCACTTCTAACACGTCACAAAAATAATCTTAATTTGCGCTCGAAAAACTGATTAGCATTTTTTGCTCAAAATACGCATTGAGGTCGTGAGGCCTGGGACTGGTCAGAGAAAAATCCAATATGGCGTCGAAAAAATTCAAAAAAGTACTTTTGTTTTTTAATTTTGAAAAAGAAATATTTTAAGTTTGTTTTTAGACCGGAAAAGCTCCATAAAACTGTCAGGTAAACTTTTAATAATTATTTTACATAGCGTTTTAATCAGATAAAATAATTAAAACGCTATTATGTACAAATGTAATTATGTAAAACCTTTTTTAATTTAATAGTTGTTTGTGACAATTACCGCCAACGAGTCGATGAGATGAAAAAAGGCGTCCAAAATTATTAGTAAGTGCTATATATACAAGTTTTAAAGTATTATGTCGACTATGTTATCCATTGTGACCGTTAAATTAGAATTTAAAAATATAAACTAGTTTTCACTTTTGCCGTGCTAGAACTTTTGTACTCTAGATACAAAATACAATCAGTAGAAACGGTTTGCTTTCTTTAAGTCGTACGTAAAATTTGCATGCAAATGGACGTATATCACTGCATGGGTAAGGTTGGATACCAAGTTTAAACCCGGAAAAAACAGCTGTTTTAATACACTATCAAAGTGTCTTGCAACAAAATAAAGTTCGTTCAAAGCCTTTGATTATAAAAAAAAAAGTTATGAATCTATCTATTCGGGACCACAGTCGAATTTTCAGCACATTTTTACATATTTCTGGCTATTACATCCAACTTTTTACCATGAAACTTTCATAGCACAATAATGATGTTTGGGAATCCAGGGAACTCCTAGATTTACGGAGCGAATTCTCTCGCAACAAAACTTAAAGTGGAAGTCAAGTCCATATGTAAACAAACGGTTTGTTTACATTTTGAACTGCTGTATTTTTTAAAATATGATACTGTCTGAATATCTAACACCATTTTGGTTCGCTATGCTTCTAAATGAATATGAAATAGAGTTTATGTTCAGAAAAATTCGAAACATTCTAAATTTGGGCAATGTTTACATCAGAGGTCCTCACATTGTTATGAGCAGAACCGATGCGCAGAACGGACTTGACTTCCACTTTAAGATTGACTTCAAAATTGCATCGTATTTTAGAGCTATCCTTCATTCAGAAATACAGGAAATTTTATAACCAAAATATTTCATAGTTCTGTAGTGTAGTCATCATACATTAAACATATAGTCATAGTGTATTTTGCATGAGAAATTAGCAAATTCCAACAGCAAGTCCCCTTCCATTCGAATTCTAAAACCTGGTTTTACACTATCAAAGCTTCTGTGATCACAGTTGGAATCTTGTAAGGGTAAATTCTAAGTTTTGGAAGATTTGTAAGAAATGTTTCAAGAGGAAACTGACTTAGTGTTTAAACGTTTCTTACAAATTCTTCAAAACTTAGAATTTTCCCATGCAAAGTTCCTACTGTGATCACAGAAACTTTGATAATGTTTACCAAGCTTATGTTACCTACCGTCAGATTTCACAGTCCCAAGCCAAAGATACAATATAACTAAAACTTGAAGCATCTTGAAAAATCGTTCAAGCACAGTGATTCAATAAACTGAGCTCCTATTTTGAAGATCTTCACTGCAACCTGCAATACCCAATATTTCAATTGTCTTGTAATAAGTAACTTCACAGCTGGGGTTTCACCCCTAACTATTACTTAATTGTTTAATTATTTTACAATATATAACTATTTGTCTATCTCAACTCAGAAACGATTAAAAAGTCTGAAATTTAAAAAAAAAAAATTTCAATCTCCAACATTCACGGAATAAGACCTTCCTAAAAATAATTGGCATTTGCTACAGCAAACCACTGAATGAAAGCCCAGAAGATTAAAAATTGAAGCAGTTATATAGGGCCTAGGGGAGAATGATTTGTTTAAAAAAAACGTTAACCAACTTTTAATGAAAAATATCAAACAAACGTATTTTCATCTTAATATCCAAAGCGGTTGATTTTAAATGAAATATTGATAGAAATCATTAGAGAAAACCATTTATAATTTATAGTTATAGGCACCGCGATTACTAAGTGATTAGGAGGGGCATAAAATGAGATTTTCCTTCTTCCGAAAATTCACATTCTTAGGGGGCTTGTTTATCGCGATGATTTGTTTAATAATGCTCTTATCACAGCTTTGATAAACATTCAAAATGACATTTCAAAGTTGAGTTAAGGTGGCTCGATATAGTAATCACAAAAACCCTGCTCAAGAATCGCGAACTCAAAACCGAGTGACCATTTTTACGCGCAGGTCGCGGAAACTGATAAACAAAATGAAAAGAACTTCCAAAATGACCTGACGTGAGCAGTTGCTCGCGCCATATCACGTCATTGCGCGTGTTCTGTAGTGTTTTATGTCAATTGCTGACGTCATTAGAATTTTCCATTTTAGAAAAACAATGCGCTATATCTCTTTATTTTGTCTGGTGACCTATGTTCAAATTTTGCACGCTGTATTGCACCGCTAAAAACTTTCATTTTACAAAAAAGAAAAAAATTCTGTAATGCCGAAAAAATTTTATCGAAGAAAACGACATTTTTGCATTTTCCAAAAAAATGGCATTACAAAATTTTTTTATATTTTGCTAATTGTTAGCTTTTCGTCCAAGTAAAATGCTTCTTTTCCAACAAAACGAGACGATAGGCCATTTTGGAGTGAATTTCGTACGCGTATGTCGTCATAGCAACGAACTATCTGTTACTAAAACTAATAAAATTTGAAAGTAGAGATATCAAAATATATAAAAAACACAATATCTGCTGAATAAATCATAAAAATGCGTAGTTTGAACATGTCAAAGTGTTGAACACCTGACTTTTTGAAAACTGTATCGAGCCACCTTAAGCCCTGGTTTTCATATGGTCGTAAAGATTGAGTCACGCGATCTTTCTCATCAGCCGAAATACAACATTTTAGAACTGAAAATACGCGGAGTAATTAGAACTAGAGATTCATACTTATGATTTATATATGGTTTACAGGTATTTAACATTTATTCGCCTCAGGCTCGGTGATTATCGGGGAATTTTAGTATTTTTACACAAGTCTTTTGTGTTTTTTTGGAACTGAATTTATTTTAATTTCTCTTATTTCTTTATCAGTAACTTCCACAAAACGGCTAGCCGCCATTTTGAAAATTTCGGTTTTGTTATATTCACCTGTAGGTGAATATAACAGCTTAATACGTCAAATTTGACCAATCAACTTGTAGGATTTGTTATGTCCACTTGTGCAAAAATACTATAAACTGTTGAGAAAGATCGTGACTCAATCTTTACGGCCGTTATGGTTAAGGCCAAGACACACGGACGTGATTCGACAACGCGGCGCGATTTTTCAGTTTTTGAAAGTTAAAAAAAAACCCAGCCAATGAAAGGACATTTTAAAAGATATGTAGACCGAATAACTCAAAATGTTATAGTGCTTCTACGTATTTGAAAAACTATCGGTCAGTGAAAATCGAAAAATCGCGCCGCGTCGTCGAATCGCGGCGTCAGGTGTATCTGGGCCTTTATGGTGAGGAAAAATAATCGTGACACGATACATCCCGGATCATATGAACAACCCTTTGCAACATGTTGCTTGTGATGTTAGTCTGAGTGTATATCTACACCGGGCGAGCTTGAAAAATATGTCTGTCCACGGTGGGATTCGAACCTACGACCTTTGGAATACTAGCCCAATGCTCTGCCAACTGAGCTACGCGGTCAGGACGCTTCGAGTAAGTGATATTTCGGAACAGAATGTATTGGGCTAGTATTCCAAAGGTCGTAGGTTCGATTCCCACCGTGGCCAGGCATATTTTTCAAGCCTGCCCGGTGTGGATATACACTCAGAATAACATCACAAGCATCATATTCACCTGAGTACATTACACCAACACAGAAAAAAACCCCTTTGCAACATGTTGCAGTTTTTAAAGCTCTACTTACAACAAAAGTTGTTTGGAGTTCACAACATTGAACTGGGGGATCGATAGGGGTACATGGGGTTTTACTTGTCAATGTATATCAAACCAGAGGACACTCGTAGACTGGGCGCTTTCCATTAACACGGTCAGAACGGTCAAATTGTTGAATGAAACACAAAACATTTGGGCTTCGCACCTATCTGACTGGAACATTTAGATAACATTAGAATGAGGTCCATTTTCACTTGAGAAACATAGACCAGATCTTTCCATTGATACAGAGACAAGAATTCGGGTCTGACCGGTCAGGACATTAAATGGAAAGCGCCCACTGCATACCTCCGTCAATGAATTAAGTTTATGTATCTTGCATAAATTATACAACGGGCTAAATATGCATTTTGTTTATTCTGCCCCGCAAAGCGAGACGAACTTTGGCTAATTAACCAATTTCCATCCAAATTTAACCACAATTTAATCAATTTGTCCTTGGGCGATTTCCCTTAATAGTCTAACAAATTTTGTATTAATACGTTTAATATTTTTAACACAGACACGATTCTTATGCTGCATGCTGTAAATAAACTTATGCTGCAAATACCTATCGTGTTGAAGTAAATGCTATAATATAACACATCGTCTGGCGTTAGACAGAGTAAGATGATAAAGTAGGGTGCATTAGGACGCATTGCATGAAAGGATTAACTTCCCATTTTTGCGAGCATCTCAACCGTTTTCTCGAAGATCGTAATAATTATGTAATCATGCTAAGCTTGGAATGCTTGAGTCCTGTTCCTTCCTGAGGAATTACGCCCTGAATGACATTGCATTTTTTATGACACATGCTATATAAACAAACTTTATGTCATAAATACCCGAATAATACACAATTTTAATTATGATTCGTCTCGAGTACAGAGGTCAATTGCTCTATACAAAATTATATCCATGGCGTGATCATGTAAGCCAATCATAATTCAAGCAATATCGTGTTGCTAGGATACCAGATATGGCGTCATCCGCTGTTCGAGTGTGACCTCCTCCACAATTATCTGAAGTTGAATTTTGAAAGATTTGAATGGTCTAAACTATTGAAACTGAATTTTTTACAATATTTACAAGGAGACTGAGAAATAAAAGCTATATACATAACTAAGTTTATTTTTGAATATTTTTAGGGAATGGAATTCCTAATTTCAATTGGTATTGAATTCCATACCACTGCTCCTTTATATTCGAGACTATTTTTAAAAAAATTGGTGTTTTTTCAAAAAAATGGTGTTTTCGACAAAGAACTTTCACAACAGTGTTCTTCTATCTTGCGAAATATTTTAGCAAACGTTTTTTGTGAAGCCGATATTAGGATGTGTGTATACTGCTTGTGACAGCTTGTCTTAATTAAGTCATTTGACAATTTTGGAATGAATGTAACTTGGTACAACATTTCAATAACGTCAGCGGTCTATCATTTTGTCAGCTATCAGTTAAGATATTTTGTAAGATGTCAGTTTAAAATTACTGTTTCATCATTTGTCAGCTGTCAGTTAAGATATTTTGTAAGATGTCAGTTCCAAATTACTGTTTCATCATTTGTCAGCTATCAGTTAAGATATTTTGTAAGATGTCAGTTCCAAATTACTGTTTCATCATTTGTCAACTATCAGTTAAGATATTTTGTAAGATGTCAGTTCTAAATTACTGTTTCATCATTTGTCAGCTATCAGTTAAGATATTTTGTAAGATGTCAGTTTCAAATTACTGTTTCATCATTTGTCAGCTATCAGTTAAGATATTTTGTAAGATGTCAGTTTCAAATTACTGTTTCATCATTTGTCAGCTATCAGTTAAGATATTTTGTAAGATGTCAGTTCCAAATTACTGTTTCATCATTTGTCAGCTATCAGTTAAGATATTTTGTAAGATGTCAGTTCCAAATTACTGTTACATCATTTGTCAGCTATCAGTTAAGATATTTTGTAAGATGTCAGTTCCAAATTACTGTTTCATCATTTGTCAGCTATCAGTTAAGATATTTTGTAAGATGTCAGTTTCAAATTACTGTTTCATCATTTGTCAGCTATCAGTTAAGATATTTTGTAAGATGTCAGTCCCAAATTACTGTTTCATCATTTGTCAGCTGTCAGTGAAGATATTTTGTAAGATGTCAGTCCCAAATTACTGTTTCATCATTTGTCAGCTATCAGTGAAGATATTTTGTAAGATGTCAGTTTCAAATTACTGTTTCATCATTTGTCAGCTATCAGTTAAGATATTTTGTAAGATGTCAGTTTCAAATTACTGTTTCATCATTTGTCAGCTATCAGTTAAGATATTTTGTAAGATGTCAGTCCCAAATTACTGTTTCATCATTTGTCAGCTATCAGTTAAGATATTTTGTAAGATGTCAGTTTCAAATTACTGTTTCATCATTTGTCAGCTATCAGTGAAGATATTTTGTAAGATGTCAGTTTCAAATTACTGTTTCATCATTTGTCAGCTATCAGTGAAGATATTTTGTAAGATGTCAGTACAAGGGGGATATCCTGTCGGTCAAAAACTACAAGAAATGTTAGTTGTCAATTTATTTGAAACCAACCACCACCAAATTACTGTTTCATCATTTGCCAGCTATCAGTTAAGATATTTTGTAAGATGTCAGTTTCAAATTACTGTTTCATCATTTGTCAGCTATCAGTGAAGATATTTTGTAAGATGTCAGTTAAGGGGGATATCCTGTCGGTCAAAAACTACAAGAAATGTTAGTTGTCAATTTATTTGAAACCAACCACCAGCTATATAAAGTTGATATCCTGAGCTGAGTTTCTCTAAATTGCTGGATAAACAAAATAATTATTTTTTGTTCATTGTGACGCTCATAAACGTCTTTTATATTTTAAGTTGTTTGACAGGTACAAACGTCATTCATAATTGAGACTGTGTTTGCGGTTTTGAATTGTAATATCAGTTCCTGTGCGCACATGTTTTTAACTGGATAAAGCATAAACAAATATTTCAAAAGCTCATTAATAGTTAATTCATGAAGAAAACACAAAGAAAAGTCGTAAGCGTGTCGTATCTTTATATATGATAGACATTTCCCTTGATTCACATAAACTTTAACTTTGATTTTCTCAACTTATACAACGTATTTTTTTCATTACTTCGCCAACGAACTTACTAGATCGATCGTTTTTTAAACAATTTAAAACATTCGCAGTGTGTGTTTTATCAGACTTAAAGATACTCGGCTTCGCTTCGTATCTTTATATCTGATAAAACACTGCAGCTCATGTTTTAAATAGTACATGAATAGCCGATAAAAAGAACCTTATGGGTAAAAAAAGAACACGTGTCGAAAATCCTCACACACTGTCTGTGAATAGAGAATACACCAGTAGTAATCTCCCATGAGTACATTCAAATTATAACTCATGAGGCATGTTCATAATAGTGCGTCAGCCTTCGACTCCTCCATTTCATCCTGTAGTAAAACAATGGTTAACTTTGGATCTCAAAGGAAAACGGTTTAGAAGTGATGCTTGTTTTATACGTCGAATTTTGGTCGCGTCGAATGCAACTAAGACAATAGATAATGAGATGATAAACCTCATTAAGCTTCATTATCTGAATATATTGTTTGAATATATTGTTTGAATTGCATTCGACGCGACCGAAATTCGACGCATAAAACGGGCCTAATTAAGATATACTGTATATCCAGTGTAAATAAAATTACTGCAGTGTAAGATCCCTGGGTAGGTAGATCGACGGCATGATATATTTCATATCTGGAGTTGGCGTTGTACAATTTCCTTAATAATTTATAATTAATTCCGTGCAATATATCAAACGTCATAGAATATTCCTGGTTCTGTGTACTCGTTGCAATCAATTGTCAGACGTTGGTAAAAGACTCCTCAATCACTGAGCTGATCTACCAAGTTCTTTTAAAAAAAATTACCGACCATAGCCATAGGTTGTAGGTTACCAAGCGTTCTATCAATTGGCTAATTTACCATCTGGTTCACGGGAAAGTGTGTGTAGGGCTTAGCCCCTCCCCTCCCCCCCCCCCACACACACACCTACGTTCCTGTATTTGAGCAATACACAATATTATCAGAACGTGCGCTTCTGATCTTAATCCCAACTAATCCGCATTGTCATTAACTCGTTTTCAGAGTCCATTTGCGCGTGGTCAAAGTAAACACCTACCTTTGAATTGGAAAAATTGATAAAATTATAAACTCATACACTGAAAACATTCGGTCTGGAAAAGCTAGTTATTCTCTACAAAACATCGCCCATCTGCGAACCTGTTTTCAAGTGGCAATACGATTCTACACCGCGCCTCCTACTCACACACAGGTAACGACTATACGTTTATAACGATTGTTGTATTTTTCTGTTGCTAAGTTTTGACGATTTCCTGTGGACTCGTCACGGGACTTCCTTGTGATGGGCCTACCCCTTGCTGGATTAGTAATGAGGCCCCATAGCTTGTGCATTGTTTGCGAGTGCGCGAGGCTCTACTAAACACGGCATATTTCACCAATGCTGGACACGACTATATACGATGTGAAGGCTACTTTACACTGTCAAATTTCTGTGATCACACTTGGAATTTTGCATCTGTAAAATTGAAGGGGATTTGTAAGAAATGTTTGCGGGAACTGACTCAGCGTAAAACAGTTAGTCAGATCCCTCAAACATTTCTTACAAATCTTTCAAAACTTAGAATTTACCTATGCAATCTATGCAAAATTCCTACTGTGTTTGTGAACACAGAAACCAGTTTGAGGTTTCGTGTGCTTCTTTTCCAATTACTCTTAATTGCAACAAATCAGTCTTACAATTAACATGTTAACGTATTTTGAGAGCTCGTTTACGTGTGGTTAAAATGACTCCTCGTTGAATTGGAAAAAGTTGATGAAATTAAAAACACGTAAACATTTGTCTGGCAAAGTTAGTTTCAAGTTACGAAATTCTGGAGAAAATAAATGTACTAGTACGTTTTCGGTTTCGAATTTTTGGAATTTTTCACATTTCATTCGCCTGAACAAAACTGCACGCTCTCGATTAAAGTTGGATAGTATAACTGAGCAGTTGTTGCGCAAAAAACTGTTGGTATTTTTATTTCTGCGACAAACTGCTGTTGATGGTATGACTACCTGAAAAAAATGAAAGTTCAATTGTTTTGAGTGATTGTCGTTCGCTGCCAAAAGGCCAGTGAAATTTTGTTTTTGCTTTTAATCTTCTCCGTAGAGTTCCGCCACAAACCTGTGATCTTGTTTTGTCTAAAATTTCATGGTTAACAGAAGCTTGGATAGTTTCCAAAACATAAATTTGATCTTCTAACATGGCAATTTTTACCATAACTCATAATTCGTGCGTAATATCAGGTATAGAGCACCCTCGTTTGCATATATACAGCTATATGTACTCATGAAACGTGGGAAGCATTTGCATATTCAAACTAGACCTTCACAAGCCACAACACGCAAGTTTCTCAGCACAGATCGTGTGAGCTCACAGCGGAAAAAACAAATTACATGTGTCTGCTACTAGTCAAAATACTAGGAGTTCCAAGGCTAGCCGCCGTTTGAAGGCGAGTGTTGATGAAGTAATATATTGGAAGTATTCAAGTATGTTAATTTACCTGTGCTTTTTGATACCGCGTAGTTTATATCTTTTATATAACAAAGATCATCTAAGATAAAGCAACTGGACACGCATTGCTAAGGATAAAATCTTCTTTGGTTTCAAAACAAACCGTCAACGGACATATTTCCTTGCTAAATTGGTAAGTTCATAAATCCCACATTACAATTGAGGGATTTCTATGTAGACTTAGTTTATATTATTGCTTTATAGAGCATTCAAATAAGTTTACCAGCCAAAACAGCATCCTTCACTGCCTTCATTGCAACCAGTTAAATAGCTTCAGTAACGACAGTGTACAGCCTGTTTTAACATCCATCTTTCAAAACTTATAGCCCGCGTTATATAATAATTATAGCCTATAGGCGTTACGGTTGTATAGCTATAGGATTACTATCCATCTTTCTACCCATATTTTAATCGCAATACATCACGAATTTGTCTTTAATCTTTATGTGTTCGCTCATGAATGCTCTATATCCGGCAAAGCTTGTAAACCTGACGTTCTGTAGAAAATCTTCATGATTTAAATGCTATATCGGAATGATCTATAGTCTTACTTTAGTGTACAACAGTCTCGGCTTTCGTACATGGGAGTTTAATGTGTAGCCATTAGAATTTCGCTGTGGACAATTTATATGTTAATTTTGCAATATCGCTTAATGTTTTCGTATCGACTCGCTTATCTCTGCATGTCTTGCTGTGTTTCACCAAATTCGTAGTCAACAAGAAGGCCACAATTGTTTTCTTGTTCGAAAATGCAATTCCATGCCATTTCTATCGATTTTGCCAAGTGCCGACGGTTCTGAGTATTTTAACTACGACATAAACGAAAGCATTTCATCACTCAGGCATAAGTGACACAAAGTGTAAACGAACGTTAAAATGCTTCAGAACTAAAGCTTTGGATTGATAGGGAACCATCTGCCTGAAACTAAATACAACGAGAACTTTTATGTTTTGAGCGAAGGACCTTCGAAATGTCGAAGTTCTAGCTCCTTGTGTATTTCAGCTAGTAGTTGCATACTATCAACCGAAGATTTCTTATTATTGCCACAACAGCACACTGCTACAGACCATTCAAAATTCTTCACGCTTTTATCGGCATAAAAAATTCCTGGGTTTCTCTCCCTTTATAAAACTAGTCGTAATTGGTCAATCGGTAATGTAAAATGTTGCAATTATCGGGCCGGAATTTGTAGTAAATCTTCTTCTCATTTGCTCCGCATCAGTTTAAGACTTACATGCTTAAGACAACGTACGCCATTGTGTAGGCAAGTAATTCTCATCAATTGTTTATGTTCGTTTTAGTGTAGTGTCCTAGTCCAACTATAGCATATATCGTAGATTTGAAACTAAAGAGAACTATACAAGTCGATCGTTCAAGTTGTGAATCATGCTTCCTATAAGATTATATAGTCTGCGTGTAAGGTGATGCGGTGCTTTTGCAAACATCTCCGAGTGCTTGGACCCTTGGTTACTTTGGTTATTTAAATTGCTCCCTATTGAGTATTCAGGCAGACAGACGTTAATTAAACACTAAACTCTCAGATAATGCCTTTTTTTTCCACGGTGTTAGCCTTTTGCTAATCTGAGGAGAAGTAAAAAAACATCCACTAACACATGGTTAATATTGAAAGAACAAAAAAAAAACACCAGATCTTATCGCAGAATCAGATCAATGTTTTGATGGAATTCTTAACAATAGAATTTATAATCATAGTCTATAGACCTTTTTTTAGTATAGAATTTAACGCGCAGCTGAAATTCTTAAAATTCCGGCTAGAATTTGCTCTTCACTTGAATTCTTTACGCCCACTGCATTTGTCTATTTGACCATAGTTGTATCGTGCTGTCTGTGTCATGTACTGTTTATTGTATCACGGAATTCGCCCCACACGACTTGGTGTAATCATGTGATCGTATAGTATCCATATATATGATAGTGTCTTGTTGTAATGGACCTCTGTGGACCTCTAGGAAGAACAGTTTAGAACTGATAGAGCTATCCAGTATAAATAAAGTTAGTTTAGTTTAGGTTTCCCCCTGTAGTAACACTGGATCAATACGAGCAGGGCCGCCGAGAGAGGGGGGGGGGAAATTGCCCCGGGCCCCGAGGTGATCCTTACTGGACCTCTAGGAAGAACAGTTTAGAACTGATAGAGCTATCCAGTATAAATAAAGTTAGTTTAGTTTAGGTTTCCTCCTGTAGTAACACTGGATCAATACGAGCAGGGCCGCCGAGAGAGGGGGGGGGGAAATTGCCCCGGGCCCCGAGGTGCTGGGGGCCCCTGGAAATTTTTTGTTGGGCCCCAGTCATTTTTGTGGGTTAAATGTTGTTGTTTT